CCAAATTGCGAAGAAGAGAGACGTGCTTTTTGGAGACTTGCTATCTAGACTAGTCAAAAAGATTTTTTAATTATAAGATTAATTTTTCAACAATTTTTTCATAACTATATTTCCATTTTCTTTAATTAATAAAATAATTTTCTTTTTTCTTCCTTTGTTGCGTTTCGACCAATTTTCTAACGTTAAAAATGAATTACGAAAAACAGCAACAAAGACATAATTATTACAAATAAATATTATCCCAACTAAATTTATTTTAGTTCAGTAATTGAGGACAACATTAAAAAAAATAAATAAAATGTTTTCTTTTTGTTCCTAGAAAATGAAAATTAATAGAAGAAGAACAATGTTTTTTGTTCTTCATTTTTGTCTTTATTTTCTAACAAGACTATAAAATGGATGTAAAATAGAATCTTCTGCCCAATTTTAATTAATTTATTAATTAATCTAAAATGAATAATTATTTTATTTTTAATTCCTTTGTCGGACTTTTTTTTATTATTTTATCTTTTTTGTCTCATTTTCCTTGGAAAACAGAAGCAGATGGATGTTGTTGTTGTACAGGTCCATGTTGTTGTAGGTTGGAAATTTATTTTTGTTGGATAAACTAGCTGATTAGAATAAATCACCCAAAAAAAACATTTCAGAATATAGCAAAGGGTTGGAAAGAGACATTCTCTCTCCTAGGCAAGTTCCTTATCCGATCACCCAGCCATTATTCAACACCGACTGACTGATGGTTTTAATTTTTGCTATAGTAGCTAGAATGGAGGAAAATTTTGTTAGTCTTAAAATGACATATTCTTTCCTCCACTAAAGTTTTTATAATTAATGTTTGAAACCATTAAGGTAAATTAATATTAGTAACTCGTTTTTCTTCCTTAATTAGCTATTCCTAATCAGGGGTGGGCGCATTGCGTTTTGCGTTTTTTGCGTTTTGCGTTGATTTTTGGCCTTGCGTTGCGTTTTGCGTTTTGCGTTTTTCACGATTGCCTCTTGCGCCCACCCCTGTTCCTAATTAAATGTTTTTACTCTTAAAGTTTAGACGAATATTTTAATTTTTTAAATTATTTTTTCAAGGCCTTGCTGTTCTTGTTGTCTTTGCCATAAAGGGCCAATCTGCATTAGGTTTTGGCACTTTAATATTTTTTTCAATAATTTTTAGACTTCCATGTACTTGTCCTTGTTGTTGTAAATGGTAGAAAATTTAAATTTTCATAAAATATTTTTAAAATAATTTTAAAGTTGTGGGTGTTGTTGTTGCTCTCCACAATCATGTTAGTTTATTTAAAAAATACTTTCTGTGTATTAACTTAATTTAAAGGCCTTTCATGTTGTGGAGGACGACGAAAGAGACATAGCCATAATATACGTGATTTCTTACCGAAATCGAGTTGCTCTAAAAAGAATAATGATTTAAATGAAAGTAGACTTTTACTTACAAAAACTATATTTTATTAAATTTTAAAAATGTATATTTAATTTTTTTGTTAAAGAATTCAACACTTATTTAATAGCATTTCACCGGAACCGATATTTTCATCGGAACCGGAACTTCCAGTGACCTCTAATATTAAATTGCTAGATCCTTTTCTAGCTTCCTTTTCTAATAATTTTAATTCACACAATTGTGGAAACTTATTTAATTATAATAAGATTAGAATTGGATATTAATTAGTTCTCTATTTTTGATTGTCGGTCGGTTACTTCTCGGTTTTTTCAAAACTCAAGGCTTTTGTTAATTCTTGATTTTATATTTTTAGTTTAATCAAATCAAAAGAAATATTTCTGACATTTCAACATTTTAATTATCCCCAACATTATTTAATTATTTTATTTAATGATTCCAATTTATGTGGATAATCTTAAATTTAATCACAGATTATTTTTCTTTTCAGTAGACTTTCAGAAATTTTTATATCCTCTGTAAGGATGATTCACCTAGCAGCATTTAAAACGCTTAGGCGGGGGATAAACGATCTAAAAAGGAAAAAGAGAAAGCATTAGTCGATGCCCCGGTAGCTCAGAGGTAGAGCTCCTGCATATAGTGAGCGAAAGCCTAGCAACAACTAGCAGGTGGTCGCAGGTTCGAATCCTGCCCGGTGGCTAAACTTTTGCAAACTCTTTCTGGTGCCGCTAACAGGGATCCCCACTTGCTGCTGGGTGAACCAGCCGATCCACGGTCATGGCGCTTGACCGAGGGACCGGTCTGATGTAGGGATGGAGATGTAAGGATGATTCACCTAGCAGCATTTAAAACGCTTAGGCGGGGGATAAACGATCTAAAAAGGAAAAAGAGAAAGCATTAGTCGATGCCCCGGTAGCTCAACGGTAGAGCTCCTGCATATAGTGAGCGAAAGCCTAGCAACAACTAGCAGGTGGTCGCAGGTTCGAATCCTGCCCGGTGGCTAAACTTTTGCAAACTCTTTCTCCTCCAATCGATTCTCAACAGAGGCTGTTGTGGCCATTCAATGTTTTTCTTCTCTATTCGATTATTTTCGACATACTAACAAAAAATGTAGATTTATTGTTGAATTAATGGGGAAGGATCACCGGAAGGAGGGAATCCTCTCTCTCCCACTCTCTGTTTCTCTTCTTCTCTTTACACAGCCTTAGATCGAGAGTATTGGTCCAGGATATTTTGCGTGTTTAGTGGTAAATAAATAAATATATTTTTGCTATTTAGTTAAAGGCTGCAAGGACAGGCAGTTGTCAGCAGCTGGAAACTCATCAGCTACTTAAAGAGAAAAAGCAAAATCCCTCTTCTTTCAGCTAGATCCAAACCGCCCCCATTTCCTTCTCCTTTCATTTATTTCCACAAAATGATGCACTTTCTTCTTTTTTGACTTTTTTTTCTTTTATATTATTTATCTCTTTATCCTTTAAATACCTCAAAAATCCACATTTTTATATACTTATTGTCAGACGTAATATAGCCACCACCCCCCCCCCAACAACAATAACAACATTCATTCCCCTCTAAACATTCCTCTCTACAGATAACCACTTTATATTAGACAAATCACGTTGTTTAAAGCTTTTCTTGGTTGTCTTCTCGAACGACAAACATACTATTAACTACTCTTCAATACTGATCAAAATATATATTTATTTTTATATCCTCCATATCCCTCCACTTAATCGACTTGACTGTTTAAAGGAAGGAAAAGGCAAACAATTTCTTTTTCTTCTTTTTTTTTGCTCAATTTATCGTTTCTTGGAATTGCTTTTTTACTATTCATTTTCTTGAAAGGCTTATTGAAATTTTTTTGCTTAAACTTCTTTAAACATTTTTTAAAACTTGTTTATATTTTTTTGTAATTGTAATATGACAAGTTCACTTCTCTTTAGCAGAGCTCGAGTTTTCACAAAATTTAGGGAATGAGTAGTAGTACCTACACTCACTAATTCCCCAATATTTGGATTTTTCGCCATCCACTTGAAATTTTATTTTACCTATTTATTTACTCAATTTTGTATTTGCCCTTTGTTGATCTCAATATTGCGAATAAAGTTATAATATTAACACAGCAATTTAATAATGAGTTCAACCTTCGGGTACACCCCGTTGCACCGCGAGCCAATGTACCGCTGAGCTATAATTCAGTTCAAAATTGTCGAATCCATGGCGCACTGGTATGGTTCGATGCGGCTCGACCAGCTGAACCGAACCATACCAGGGCGCTACGCGCTAACAAAATTATAGCTCGGCGGTACATTGGATTCGCGGTACACTAGCCTGCTAGAATTTTAATTAAATTCCTCTATTCCTCTACACTTTTTAGATAAAATATACTTTTAAATTATATAATATAAAAAATCAACAATTCCAATTAGAGTTGCACCCCGACCCCGTACCCCGAACCCCGACCCCCGTTCCCGAAAGATTTTTCCAAAATTTCCCCGACCCGAACCCCGCCCCGAAAAAAATGAAAACCCCGTCCCCCGACCCGAAAAAGTTTCGGGGTTTTCGGGGTATACACCCCTAAAAACGCCATTTTTAAGGAGAATTTAAAGAGAAAAATTTTAGAAACTTCCTCCCAATTTGCTTTGCCTTTATTATTTTTGTAAGAAAATTGAATGAAATATCAATATTGTATTTCCATATTAACTAACCGACTTGTGGTTGAGTGGTTTAGTTGTTGGTTTTGTCTATATTTCCATTCATATAGGGTAGGGTTCGGATCCAAATAAGGAGAACCCGTTTGTTTTGTTATTTTTCTTTACAAAAACAAGCGTTAAATTTTAATTTTAAAAGTTTAATTCCATTTTTAAATATTATCAACCATAAATTTTTAGTTAAGTCTAAAAATTCTAAAATTTTCGTCTGTGGCTCTAAAAAAGGAAGATTCTATCCCTTGAACCACTCTTAATCCTTCGAAACCCTTATATCAGCAGATATGTCAGTTAATCTCTATAAATCTTCCATAATCCGCCCAAATTTATTTATTATCCCAGATAATTATCTCCCCAGATTAAAAACTAATAAAAGATCCGTAATACTTCTATATCCTTCTAAATCAATGATATCCCTTGAGACCAACAAAGATCACTCCAGATCCTCTTGCATCCCTAGATATACCATTTAATCCCTAAAATCCCACTTAATCCCTTCAGATCCGCTTATATCCCTAGATAAACTCTTTAATCCCTTCAAATCCAATTTAAAGTCTCAAAATCACACTTTATTTTTGAAAAAATTAACGAAAATAGACCAAAACTAATTATTTTTTAACATTTTTTTCTCTAAAAATTTTTTTACAAAAACCCCGTACCCCGACCCGAACCCCGACCATATTTTGGTCCCCCGACCCGTACCCCGCCCCGAAACAATTCGAAAACCCCGTACCCCGACATACCCGCCCCCGAGCGTTCGGGGTGCAACCCTAATTCCAATAAACATCCAATTAATTAAAAATTTTGAAAGTTATTGATAAATCTAAATTTCTATAAAATATTTTGACTGTTTAATTTCTAAATTCAAATTCCATCCAATTAAAATGGAAGAGGAAAATGACACAAAAGTTATTAAAAACTCGGAACCTATTGAAAATGGACATGAACCTTCATCTTCAATTGTTTCAATACCAAGCAGTAGTAATAATATTGGACATTTAAATATTAATAATAATGTGGGAAGAGGTAATGATATAATTAAAATATGTATTAAAATACATAACTAGTGTTGTCGGTTCTTGGAAAATCTTTGGACATCCGGAACCGAACTGAAAAGCCGAGCCGAAAAATCATCGGTTCGGTCCAGAACCGATTACTCATAATATTTATTAAGACATTGAGCAAGTTAATATTTTTAGTGTAAGACTGGGATTTTTTTATATGTATCTTTAAATGAAAAGTTTTATATATAATCCCGAATTCCGGGGTGTCTCTCGAAAAACTTCCATTTATACAAACTAAATTTCCTCTAATTTTAATTTATTTTCAATCGAAATATTATTTACATAGAATCCCCTCCTTCCCTTCCAATTCCCCCAATCCTTTAATAATTATTTTCTAACAGTAAGTGGCGATGATTCTAGCGACGAAGACCCAGCAGAATATTTACGCGATTTACGTAGACGTGTTCAATTTAGTGACAGATCACAACGTGTTTTGGACGATTCTGATAATTTACTTAAATCAATCAGAAATAGAAGAGCCCCACCAATACCCTCTCCTTTAGCTAATTCTTCTTCAACTTCTGCTGTTGGAGGACTACATTCTTCCTTTTCTTTGGAAAAGCGTCGAAAAAGTGGAGATTCTACAATACAGGATAGAGCAGAAAGAACGTTTATAAGAAGTAGAAGGTCTTTAAGTCCGGATAAACAACAATTAGGTGGAATTGAAGATGCTTCTACGTAAGGAATTTTGTTTAAAATGAATCCCTAAACTTTTGTTTCCTAGTGGTTAAAATCCTTTTTGATGAGAAAATCATTATTTTAATAAATAAACTTACTTAATTATCCTTCCAATAAAATTTTAAAATAAAAATTTTTTCATCAAAAACTTTCTTAGTTTTCTTAAACGCCTTTTTACAAAGGACTTTTCATTAGTCCAGTCTCGAACTACTCGAGAACTAGTATATATACATTTACTTTTTTTACTCAGATTCTCAAATCCTCTAGAAAGTCTCTTGAAATTTTTAAATAAATTTAGAAGTCGTTATTTGTTAAACACGCCAAAATTCCCTCGAATTGACTTTGATGATTGGATTACTGAAGAATTAACAGATAGGAAGCCGGCATGGCATCAATTAGAGGAAAGTGTTAAATCTTCATATAATAAAGTAAATTGAATATTTTAATTGAATTGATAAGAATTTATAAATAATTTGGGTTAAAATCTAGATTTGTAGTTTAAAAAGCATTCCCCTTTACTAGTTCAGTCAAAATTTAATTCCGTAAGTTGAGAATTTGGGGATTTTTTATAAACCATTTTGATCCCTCGATTATTTGCTATTCCTCCCAAGCTTTAATAAAAGATTTTTTTTAATTTTTTCCAAATTTCAAAATATTTCTCAATTTATTAGCCTAGAGCAACAGCAGAACGAAACAGGCAATTAAATGAATATCAAGACACCCAACTTAACCATTTAGAATTTAACCGTGCCCGTCGTCGACACCAATCAACAGATTTACCTTTCACTGAATTAACACATTTAGACTCCGAAAGTTTTTTGCCTAGAGCGCCTAGTTGGATGGCTAACGATGCTATAGCCCCTAGGGGAATGCCTAAATTGATAAATTCTGCTGGAAGTGGTTAGTGGGGAAGGAAAGGAGGGGGAGGAGGGGGGGTGTTGGGGGGATATTTGAATTAAAAATTATTTTAGGTCCTTATGCAGCACCTCATTTAAGTAGAACACAAGGAATTGAAAGGCCAGAATTAACTCGATATAGCAAAATTGCTGATGATATAACAGGTAATACATGGATAATTAAATTTGTGTTCCTCCTCCTTATCCGTGGCCCTATGGATTCCAAAGGTTTTCAATTTATGTGCTTCCTTTAAGCCCATGTGTTACATACCAAGTTAATCCTTTATTTTTTTAATTTAATTTTTTAGCTCGCCTCTTAAAAACATCAATATTGCCAGAACATATGAAAACAATAACTAGTAAAGAATTTAGAAGTGCTCCTTTCCCTTCTGCGGGAAGTTCAACAGAACAATTCGCAACAGAAGATGAAATGCTGGTAAAGCTTTTTTAAGTAAATAAACTGCCCGGTAAAATTAAGAGAAAAAAATATAATTTTTATACCCAATAAAAATAAATAAAAAAAGGATTTTGGTTGGGAATTTTTTGAAAAATTGGGAAATTTTTTGTCATAGTTCTCCAAAAATAATTGAAAGGGTGTATCGTTGGACATATTTAAAATCAAAAAAATTTTCTGCGGTTTTAACTAGGGTAGCACCCCGTTCCCCGAAACCCCGACCCTAACCCCGAAGGCTCTACCCCGGCAAACCCCGATCCCCGACATCCCGCCCCCGAAGGCTCGGGGTGCTACCTTAGTTTTAACAATAAATGGGAGGAATTGTTATCTTTGTCATTTAAAAATAATTTTTTGTTTAAAAATAAAAATTTAAATTTAAAAAACATCAGCCCAATCTTTTCTTTCAAATCTTTTAAAATAATTTTTGTTCAATTTTTCTTCACTCTTTACTCCTTACTTTTCCTTAAACTTTCAGAATTTCTTCCCGTTTTTGTTTGAAATATTTACAAAATTCTTCAAGTTTATCCTCTTTCAATTCTTTACCTTCACTAAAATAATTCTCAACTTCTTCACATTTTTCTTCGGCATTCAATATTTGTTTAAAATTATATTCCTTTTCAAGCTTCTTTATATATTTATGCAATTTCTAGAAATTATTTTAAAATATTCTTTTTAAGAAATTTTCTGATCATATCCGCATAAACAAATATCGGATAGGATTGAGGGGCACTGTCTGTGGCACAACAAAAATCTTATACAGTAAGACCCCAGTTACTCATTTATAAATTACCTAACTGGGATCTTACAGTATTCGATTTTAGCTTTGTATTTATTATATTTACCCTATCTATACTTACAAACCATTCTATTAGAATGGTTTGTCTAATAGAATGGCTAAAGCAATTATTATTGTTGCCTAAGATCAGCACTTTCGACTAAAAATTTTTTCCTTCCCAACATTCAAAAATTCTTTTATATTTTTAATAAAAAAATAAAAAAAACCTTCAATTTTCTTTTACTTATCAATTCGGCAATGTTGCACAAATCTCCAAAACCTACTTTTACCTCATTCTCCTCTCCAACATCTTCAGTTTTTCCAAAATATTTTTCATAAATTTCTTTATAAATTTCAAACTTCTCACCATTACTACTATTTAACTTTAATTCATTTATTTCCTCCAAAATTTTTTTCAATCCTTTTTCTCTTTTTCGGTTACTTAAAACGGCATAAGCATCTGATAATTTGTATACAAAGCCTAATCTATCTATTTTTTCACCACCTAAATTTAATTAATTTTTTTCAATAAATCAGAATAATCCCAGATATCCCCCCCCCATACTCTACATTTAATAGAAATCCCTCTATTGTTAATAAAGAAGGCAATTCATTCTCCAGTAGGATTCTTCGGTTCTGACCCGAACTGAACAGATACCTGAAAATTTCCCGTACCTGAAGATAATACCTGAAGATTTACCAAGAACTAACAACCCTAAACTCCAGTGTAACTATATAGAAATACCCCTATAAAACTTCTATCAAAAAAAACTCCTCCCTTTTTTAGTATCTTCAAATTCATAAAAACTATTCTTTAATTCAGTGTCTACCATTTGCATACTAAATTTATTTTCTATTTTCTTTTCTTTTGTAGATACCGATAAATTTAAAAGAAATTGGTGGACGAATAAATAAAACAATAAATTCTTACAAAATATTTTCATCTCTTTAAATAAAAAAATATTTAAATTAAGAAAATACTTATTTTTTAATTCAAAGATTTCAAGAACTTGCAACCCCTAATTGAAAGTAACATGAAGTTAAGGTCTATCCAGCCTTAATTTAAGTTAAAGAACCTCCTCTCTAATGTTGTTTGGATTTTAAATATAGTAAGAAAAACTCCCCCTCCTCTATTAATTCTAACTGACTTGTTAATAAATTAATAGTAAATTTTAAATTTTCAATTACACGCTCTCATATAGTAAATTTTAAATCAATTAATAAATTATTAATAGTCGCTCATTTAAATTTTTAAATTAATTTTTTACCATTATGTATTATTGATTGAAACTTAAGATTCGATTTTTTAAAATTTAATTTTTTCTTCTTGTTTTGGATTTTTCAAGCCCAACTTACAGAAACAAATTTTCTTTTCAGCGTTAAAAGGGAAAACCCGGAAACGAAATTTTATTAGAAAGCCGAGTTATAAATCCTAAAACCAGGTCGCGAGTCCGAGTTGAACTTTATTTTTTGGATAAAATTTATAAATTCTGGAGATTGATTAAACATTATATTAAAAATAAATATTAACTAATTAACATTTAATTAACTTTTCTCAAACACAGCTTTAAATTATTTCCAGTTTTATTTGTTAATATTTAAAATCGGAGGTGGAATTTTAAACCCGATTTTAAATTTCAATCGGAGTCAGAAAAGTGTCAGAATTATTGCAAGTCCGAAAGTTTAAAAATTTTCTTGAATCGGAGAAAATGTCTGGAATCTTCCTCCCACAAATGCCCTTAAATAGGACTTTTAGACTTTAGTCTAGATTTTATTAGAAAGAATTTTCGAAAAAAGTTCTTAAGAGTTAGAACACAATATGTCCGTAAACTCACAAATACAACCTGCTACTAATGTGAGGAGGGTAATTGCTAAGGGGAGTAATTAATCGAGAAAATACGGTAACTTGAGTAAACATTTTCGATTGTAACTGTTGGGAATAGTGTCTGAGAATCTAAAGGTTCCTCGATTTTACATAGAACAAACCAAAAGTATTTTTAGGATAAAAACTTTAAAAATAAATATGTATTTTTTAAAATTATTTTAGTTATCAATTCCACGGTCATATTACAGTAGACCAAACAGAGACGATAAGGATTATTTTGATTTTGATCTTCAACACTCTGTGGACATGTAAATAAATATTTTGATTAAATAATTAAAGTTTTCTAATTAGCTAAATAATTTCCAAACTTTTTAGACACTCAAATTTTAAAAAAAATGTTCGGAAAATTTATAATACCTAATTAGAACAAAAATTATTTAATTTAAAAAAATATGGGGAAAACGAACAAGTACATTATTACAAAATAATTAATTACCTATTACAAAATGCCCCTCTCAATAATATTTATGAAATAAATAGTATACTAAAATTAATAAATTTTGAAAAAATATTTTTTCCCTTTTGCAGGTATCGCCGCCCTGAAGGAAAATACCTTCCAACACCGTAATTCAACTTTTTAGAAAATTCAATTAAAATTTTTTCTTTTCAATTTTTAAGTCCACAACATTGGGAAACAAAACTTTTAAATGAATATAAAGCAAAGGGAGAAGCACCACTCTCTGGCTACATGTTCACAAAAGGACCGAGTGATTACAGGGCTGCGGGGACTAGTTATTTAAGCGCTGCTTTGAGGTAAATGGAGAAATTGAAAGTAGTAATGGACTTTTATTGGGAAAAAGAAAAGAATTAGAGACTTTTTAGGCTCGAATCATTTTTGAAATTTCAAAACTTTCCCTGCATTTATTATTTGTTTGGCCTTCGTTCCCATCCCGGAACGGATTTTTCAGAATCATCCCTTACCCACTCCCTCCTCCCTTTGAAATTTTAAAACTTTCCCTGCATTTATTATTTGTTTGGCCTTCGTTCCCATCCCGGAACGGATTTTTCAGAATTGCCCCTTATCTTCTCCTCTCTCTCGCAACTATTTAAAACTTATCCCTATTTGAAGAATTTTTTGGTAATTATATAATTAGGTAATCGTGTAACCCTTTTAGATGTTGAAAATTTTTATTTTAAAAATTGAACTTTGATGTTTTAAATAAACTTTTAAAGAACTCCGAGTTTCTGGGAACACCGTTTTGCTCAAATTGGTAAATTTATTTATTTTTTTATTAAATTCGATAAGTTATTTACTAAAAATAAATACTTAAATAGGTGCTTCTGTGCGTGAAGCGGATCCTGTAAGCTTCGAAAGTTTGGAAAGGTATTTAAATTTTAGGGTTTTTTGTTGGTCTCTCTTTTTGTTAAAACATTTTCAAAAGAGTTTTAACCCCAAAAAATTGTCTTCAATTCATTCGGAGCGCTCTTCGAGCCGAGTTGATTGAGAACAAAATTCAGATTTATCTATTTATTTTGAGCAATAACAAATTTAAAAAACTTAAATATTTTAATTAAAGAAATAGACCACGACCTAGTCGATTCACAACATATTCAGACCCAAATTTTGAAGATTATGAAGATCCACGAGCAGACGACACTTGATATTTTAAATAAATTTAATTGTTAATTTTCTTTAATCATTAATTTTCTCTTTAAGTTTGTATATGCATATTAAATATATTTTTTTGGATTTTTATAAAAATTTAACTTTGATACGGATATGTAAAAGTTAAATGAATTAATTAATGATCTAAGACAAATTAATCATAAATCCTAAAACCTAAAGATTTTATGGAAGGAGGCAAAATGTAAAGGTTAAAATAGAGGAGGTACATATATTAAGGAAATGCAAATTTAGTGGAGAAAGTTCTAAATTACAATTTTATTCCCTACTACATGTTAGGAATCCTGCTGTCCCAATAATTGGGATTTTTTCACGTTTTTTAGTCGGGCCAAAATGGGAATGGAAAGAATTCGGCAGGGGGCATATTGCGAGTTGATCCAGATTATGTGATCCGATTCACTAGAATTTGATAAAGAAATTCTAATCCTACCAATAACAGTTGGACAAATAAACAAAGGGAGAAAAAAGTGAATAAAAAAGTTCGGAATATCAGAACTTTGCGCATCTACAATAACGTCAACTGACTTTTTTCGAATTTTTTAATATTTTTTTTCGATTTCTACATCAATTTTCAGAAATATTTTCTATTTGAAACATGAATTTCAACTTTTTTGTTTCGAAACAACCATGACTGCGAGTCAGCATGAATTGTAAATTTTTATTCAAAAAATTTTTCAGATTGCCGTATAATTTGTCACAAAAGCTGTCACCAACAAATTGACTGGAAATGTAAAAATTCAACAAGTATTTCGAATTTACATGTAGAAGAAGTTGATTGGGCTGAATTTCTTCGGCATCATCAATTAAGGGAATTTATATCTGTTGGGAATATTTGTGACAGAAAAAATAATTTTAAAAATATTTTAATTTTCCCTTTCTTTAACCTAACGATTTAATAGAAAATTTAAAACAGAAAATCAACTCTTAAGAATTTTTGACAAATTTTCTTTAAAAATCAAACAAAAACGCTCTAATAACGACTTTAAACAAAAAGTGTTTATCTTCTATTCTTAATTAAAAATTTAATATTTTCTTCTAAATTGACTTTTAATAAATTTAAATGTAAAGGAGAACGGTCCAATAAAATAAATTTAAAAAAAATAAACGAAAGCAAGAATAAAATTTTCAGAAAATTTAAATAACATTTAACGTTTTTAAGATTTTGTCTTTGTCCTTTTAGATTAAACTTTTTGTCATTTAACCTAACTTTTGAAAATGTTAAATTGTTTAAAGCTGAAATTTTTTTGAAATTTTTTACCAATCTATCATTCAACCTCAATGATGTCATAAATGTTTCATTAGTGCGGCGCTACAAAATGAAGAAATCTGGTTACTTGACCTTTCTTCTTGAGCTCCTTGGTCTTCCTTGGCCTCTAACAATTGATTTAAGCAATTTTCGGTGTTTGATAATTTTAGTGTTTGATAATTGCGTATACAGTGATTTTAATTTAATTTTAGTATTTTTGATATAAAATTGCGGATTTTAGAAATTCGAGATACGAACCCTGAATTAAACGAAGAAATACAGTTAATTTTTTTGGTAAAATTTATTTATTTTAAATTATTTTTCTCAATTTCTACAGGGTGAGGGGTAAAACTAATTCCAAAACACGGAACAGACAGAACACGGAACGACAAAACGAGGAATTACCAAAACACGGAACGGCCAAAAGGCGGAACGACCAAAACACGGTCAAGAGAAATAATTTTTTATGATTTTAAAATATTTTAAATACATATGTATTAACAAAAAAATGATTATTCAAAAATGATAAAAAAATTTAAATCAAAATATTTTTAGAAATCAGAATTTTCAGAATTATTTATGTTCTGATCTTTAGAATATTTCTGATTTTTAAAGAATTTTTATTTAAAAACGGTCCAGTGAAATAATAATTCTTTATAATTTTAAAATATTCTAAATATCAAAAAAATATTTAAAATACTTATAATAGGAAATATTCTTAAAATCAGAATTTTTTTAAATCAAAATATTTCTTTAAATCAGAATTTTTAAAATCAGAATATTTCTTTCAATCGGAATTTTTTAAATCAGAATATTTTTTAAAATAAATTTTTTAAAATCAAAATTCTTTAAAATTCAGAAATATTTTAAAAATTTATAAAAATTCTGAAAATTCTGATTTCTAAAAATATTTTGATTTAAATTTTTTTATCATTTTTGAATAATCATTTTTTTGTTAATACATATGTATTTAAAATATTTTAAAATCATAAAAAATTATTTCTCTTGACCGTGTTTTGGTCGTCCCGCCTTTTGGCCGTTCCGTGTTTTGGCAAGTCCGTGTTCTGTCTATTCCTCGTTTTGGTATGGTCCGTATTTTGGTCGTTCCGTGTTTTGGTAATTCCTCGTTTTGTCGTTCCGTGTTCTGTCGTTCCGCGTTTTGTCCGTTCCTCGTTTTAGCCCGACACAATTTCTACATTACTAAGTAAACAATTAATGCATAAGTCCTTTTCTTTCGCTAAATTTAACCTTGCGAACTATCTTTTTTAGACATTTTTAAAATGCCTTTTTGATATTATTTAAAATTTCTTTTTTCCTGAAAATATTTTCCCATTTTCTTCAATTCTTTATTTATATTTGAATGTCACTCCCACAATTACATGTATATTTATTAACCCCTTTTAACCAAAACCGTCATTCCTCCTCATTCACAAATACGTTCATAAATAGAATATGTAAAAATTTATAAATAAAATTCCCAATTAATATTTAGAGAAAAATAATAAAATATAAATAAACACCTTAACCTACAAAATCATATTAAAAACAATAAATTTATCATTCCTAAATTTAATGGAATCTTTTCAGATAGTTGGATTTTTTGCTTCCATAAATGTTGATTTTATAAAAAAAAAATAACAGCTTTTTTCAAATATGTACTTATACATAAAATCATTACCCAAATTTTAGTTTTCTTTCATTTTTCATTTTTAAAAATTTAGATTTTTTCCTATCGTTTCTTTTTTAGATACTGATTTTAGAATGAATTCTTTACCAATTGAAGCAAAACTTGATGTTTTAAAATGTCTTGATTTTAATCAACTATTCTCTTTTAAACAAACTAATTTTTATTTTCTCAATTTAATTAATAAATACAACGAGGAATTGGCACTAATTAAATTCAATACATTCTCAATAGTAAATATTTATTTAAAGTACTTTTCCGTTATCCCTACAAACTTTTACGGACACATTTTTGCTTTTTTATCATTTATTTGACAGAATGCTCAGTGTTCTTGTTTAGGAGGAGGTATTTACTTTGGAAGAAAATTATTTGCGTGTATATTTAAAAATCGGTCATTTATATTTGAAAATAGTCTTTCATATTAATTACTCAGCCACAGGGAAAGATAAAATTTAAGGAAGAAATATGAACCATTCTTTAGTCCGCAAAAATTTGTAGGGATAACGGAAAAATACCTATAGTTACATTTACTTTTAAATTTGTATTTTAGACTGACGAAGATCGAGAATTAACTTCATTTAAAATTATTGAAATTGAATCTGGAATTTTTGATATTTCTTTGAATGAACATATTTTGAAGAAGGTGTTAAATTAATAATTAATTAAATTATAAATTTATTTTTTTAGTGGCAAGCAGCACTAGATAAATCAATTCCTTTGTTTTTACATGATTTTGAATCAAACAAAAAATTTATTGTTTGTTTGGAGAAAGAACTTTACCGTGTGGACGATATAAATCCTCATTATCGTCTTTTAAATTTGCCAAATTTTCCAAAAAATATTGAAGAAATGATTGTTATTCGGTGTTGGTTAGAACAACTTTTTAATTGTTCTTTTACTTATGCTTACTTTTCTCTTGTTGTTTTTAATCCTGAAATGATTGATTTACTATTTGACAACGATAAAACAATTGCAACACAATTTCACATTAAAACACCTTATTTAACGGCTGGAAATAATATATTTGAGAGTGTTTTCAAATTAGTTTTAAATCATTTCTCAGTTTTTTTATCTCCTATCATCAATTTTAAAGACGACATTTCTGAACAACATATAGACATTTTGTTAAATATATTAATAAGCGAAGGCAAAAAATTACCTAAGATTTATTTAGGATGTTCTAAGTTTATAACGCTTCATGATCTTATTGTAAAAGTAAAAACAATTAAAAAATATGGAATTAAATTTAAATTTTAGTATGTAGCAACATCGGCAGACTGTTCAAAAATGGTGGCTTTTGTTGTTCTGAATTATTTTTCAGTTCCAAATTTTAAATTGGATGCGAGAGCGGAAAATGTTGAAATTACAAAAATTAACGACTTAGAAACTACCAGTTATCAAATTGCCAATATTTATAATCCAGGAGTGAAATTTTTAATTCAGAATTCTGACACATTAACGTTTATAGAAAGAATGTAATAGAAAAAAGGTGAAATTTAGATTGTGTTCCTTATTTTTTTATTTTTCTTAGAATTACCGCTCCTTTCCTTTTGGTGTTCAACTTGCACTGTTATGGCATTTCTGCTTCCTGCTTAGAAGTTTAAAGATCTTGGAGCCATCATTATTTGTGAAGGGAAGTGAGAACTTGTTTTACAATATTCATTGTTTATTGACTTTTGATAAATTATTTTTCATTTTATAAAATTTGAATTGTTTTTTTAATTGTTAGAATTCCACTGATTTCTTTTTACATTTTCAACCTTTTTAATTTGCTTATAAAAATTTTAAAAATTGTTTTCCATTGATAAACTTGATGTTTTTTTTATTTTAAAAATCGTTTTATTTTTAAATTAAATTTGTTTAAGTTCGATAAACTTTTTTAAATTATACTCTTTATAAACTTGTTTTCAATTTTTGATAATTTTTTAGCAAACTAATCAAACTGGGTATAAACATAATGCTCTCCTTGCCAACTGAAGTAAAAATCGATATTCTTAAATTTCTGAATTTTAATCAGTTATCTGCTCTCAAACTTACTTCTAAATTTTTCCATGAATTTATCAACAAATTTGTAAACGAGTTGGCACAAATGAAATTCAAAAAAATAACCATTGTACATTTAATTATAAACCTATTTAACTTATTTTTTCTTTAATCAGTTTTATGCGGATAGTCATCAGTTAGTTAAATACAAATGTATTAAAACTACAAAGGATTGTTTAATCCTTCAACTGAATGATGGACAAAAGAAGAATGTATGATTGTATTTAAAAATCTAACTAGAATTGTTACGATCAGCTTTAAGGATTGGCCTGTTAAATTCACCACCGGCCAATTTTTGTCGCAAATTAAATTGTCGAAAATTTAACGATTCCTATGAGAATCTATTAAAAGACTAAATGTTTTCAGGAAATGATTTAAAAGATCCCTCTTAAAAATTTAAGTAAAAAATAAAGATAAAGCCGATATTTTAATATAAATCGAAGACGAAAGTATTATGGTAATTTTTAACTTTGTAAGACCCCTCTTTATTTTTTCTCAAATCTATGCAATAAGTAATCGGACCTAAGGCCCAGGACTGTTAATGTTTACCATAACTCTGGGTGGATAAGCGGTCTCAATTTCCATAAAAGATTTTGAGAGCCTATTCAAAATGGTATTGGTACACTCACCAATTTTTGCATATGTAGGCAGAGATGGGTACATATCACAATAAATTCTGGGAGAAAATAAAAAGGGATCGAACAAAGTTCTAAAGTATCAGTATAAATTCCAGTAAAGTTCTAAGTATTACTACCCGAATATCAAAGGTGCCTCTTAATAACCGGTCACGAACAACCCTAATTTCTTATTTTTTAGTGGAACGAAGTGATTGAAAAAGCATATCCAGTTCTTTATTGTTCTCAAATTATTGATAGCGGTCAAAATGTTGTTATTGAATTACAACAATATGGTGAAGGTAACTTTTGTACTGATAAAGGACAATTGTTCGGGATAATATAGAAATAATGCTTTAATAAAGCACAAAAGATCTCTTTTCGAAAGTTTGGAATCGGGAAAAAAATAAATTTTCGAAATTGACTATCTTGATTGGTAGATAAAGATTTTACAGCATGTTTTACTTTCCTTTTGTTATTTTTTGGAGATTTGGTACAATATGGGTATACGTAATACTTTCCTTCCTTCGTTTTATTTCTGGTTGAGAGGCATTATGGGCAAGCAAAGCAATAACAATGACTTTCTTCTACCCAAATTGACATAGATTTCGACTTCCGTGCACGTTTCCAAACGATTTATTAGATTTTTCCCTTGCCCATTTCAAACCTATTTCGAAAATAGATGAGGAAAAACAAAATTGGGTGCTGTTAACTATGCTAATTATTTTTAGCAAAACCCTATTATTTGATAATCAAAAATTACCCCCAAACAATACAAGAACTTCAATTTATTTATTTCTGCCTGGATCAGCTTTTCAAATGCTCCTTTGAATTTGCACAATTTGATTATGTAATATTTAATTCAAAAATGATCAAATTATTGTTTGAAGAAGAAACCCCCAATTATTTAAAATTCGTTGGCTTACACCTTAGGCCTACATATGACACTATTCTGCATTTATGTGAATTCGCTACAAAATATGGGATGGTTACCGAATGTTTGAGCATTTATTTTAATTGTTTCTATGATTTTGAAAATGAAATGGGTATTTTATTCAATATATTGACGAATGAAGGAAATAGATTTAACTCCATTAATTATTATTTAATTAAAGTGCCAGAAATTTTTGGGTGGATCATACAAGTATGAAAATATTTTAAGTAAAATTAGTGGTTTCCTTTCTTAAATTCCCTTATATCCCATTCCTCTCTAAAATATTTTATTCAATTCGGAACCTGATTAAATCGGTACTTTAAACTCTATGTCTCCAATAATTAATATAAAAAAAGACATGAAATTAATCCGGACAAATTGTCTGCAAGTACCTAATTTTATTTAAAATTAAAGGTTGACAGTAACTTATCAATTAAATTTCAGCACATAAAAACAGCAACAGATTTAAGAAATATGGTAAAGAATATTAAATTTCTTAAACTTTATTGGCATGATTCTGATATAAATAAGGAGGGGGAGACTACAATTGGAAAAAATAATAATGAATTTATTAAATATGAGATCGTCAATGAATATAATCGCAGCATAAAATTCTTGGTTCAGATTAAATTTTACAAATGTCCATACGACATTGAAATCAATCGAATTTAATACTAACATATTTTGTATATAATTTTTTTAATTTATATAATGGGTGCAAGTTATTCAGATTCTCTTTTATGTAGATATCTAAATAAAATGAAAATTTTGTGAGAATTTTGAGAAGTTAAAATTTAAAAAAATTTCAATACTTGCAAGCTAAACGGGAACATTTATACACAAACAAAGTTAGCTTTTATGCCAAACTTTGCGGCTTTTTATGAACAAAAATCGAATAAAATATTTAAATATTTTGTTTATTTATTATCTGCCGCTGTTTCAAGCTTTTATTACCCGCGTGCCTCCTCTATTCCATTCTTTAAATATATCTCGCATGAACAAATTATCCTACCTAATTGCTCAAAATTTTCTCTCGAATTTTTCATTTTATTAAAAATATATGCAACTGCCATATTTGTTTTTAATTTAACTTGTGTGTTGATTCTCATTTTTTAATTTAAAAAAAAATTTTTTTTTAATTTATTACAGTATAAAATTTATATATATTCAGTTGGTTCTGTTTATTAGTGATGTTCGGGAGTTAATAAAAAAGCCGAGAGTCTAGACCGAGCCCGGGATCGAGAGTGAGAACGAGGCATTTGATCATTTCAGCTGTTCAAGTTCACAAGTTTCTATCATACATATGTGTATTTACTGGATTTAATAATCTAAGACAAACTGATCATAACCTAAAGATACATATTATGGAAGGGGGGAAAAAGTAAAGTTTGCTGCTGTTAAAATAGAGGAGAAATATTAGAGAATTGCAAATTTAGTGGACAAAGTTCTAAATTACAAATTTTATTATCTACTACATTCTAGCTATCCTGCCACGTTCTTTTAGTCGGGCCAAAATGTGAATGGAAAAAATTCGGAACTCTTCATTTTAAGAAATTTAAATTATAATAAGCTAACAATCAGAGGTGGGTCAGATTTCCGTCGTTTTTCTCCTTCCGATTTCCGAAAAAATTTTGGTTTCCGAGTTCCGACTTTTGAGCCAGTTCCGATTTCCGACACCTCTGCTAACAAATTTAATAAATAATTTTAATTTATTTACCGTATTTTCTCGATTAATTCCCCTGGGGAATTATTTTTTCAACCTATCTCTGGCAGGGGGAATTAATCGAGGGAGGGGAATTATTCGAGGGAGGGGAATTATTGTTTCAACGCATTCCTAAATTTAAAAAGTATGAAGTTTTGGCATTCTTTTTCTTTTTTTATTTATCTACTATTTCATTATATTCCCTATCATGCATCCATATAACTTGCATGTGTTTACTTAGTTCTTTATGTACTCAAAAATGTGTATATAAAGACTATAGTACCACATGATGGGTCATTGTATGATACGATACTAAGGGATATATATTATATCACCAAGTATGGAACCATATATACTTACCTACTTTATATATTATTTTCTGTACTATCCCATTATCCCACTATTTTGAATTAAATTCCGACCTCTTCAAATATATCTCTTGATATCCCTTCAATCCTCTGATATTTCCTGATTACGTTCAAATCCATTGCTATCCTCTAATACTCTGTTATCCTTAAATCCTATACCTTGATATTTCAGCTGTTAAATACTACTTTGATCCATGTCTACTTTTTTAGGAGAGGGGAAAAAGGAGAAGAAAAATAAAAGTGGTAATTCTTTTGAGAGGGGGGAATTATTCGAGTTTTGAGGGAGGGGAATTATTCGAGGGAGGGGAATTATTGTTTCAACCTATCTCTGACAGGGGGAATTAATCGAGAGGGGGAATTATTCGAGGGAGGGGAATTAATCGAGAAAATACGGTATTTTTCTACAAAATAAACAACAACAAAAAAATAAATATTCGTATTTAATTAATTTATTTATCCTCTAATTGACCCAACATTTTCTATTTTACTCAAAGCAACTAAAGAAACTGGTCTCTCATCTAAATCGTCTTCAATACTTTCTTCTGTAGTTGTAGCCTCTCTGCCGTCTCTTCTATCAGAATTTGACTCTTCTTCACTTCTATAAGAATCGGGTATTGTCACTCCCTCAGCATACGAACGTGTTGCAATAGGTCGAAACTTCGTTCCACTTCCAACTCGCCCCGCTAAGGCTGTCAACGACCTTGAAACGAGATTTTCCATTGGTGTAAGCATTGCTGTTCCGGGTGTTGGCGGGGGTACTGGAATTGTTGGCTGTAAGTGGTCGTCGTGTTCTTTTTTGTCTGCTGATTTGGTACGGGTTTTGCTCTTGCTTCGAGAACGTTTTAGTTGTTGGTGACGAGCCCGTGCTTCTGCTTTTTCTTTTTTCCATTTTTTGTAGCGGCGGACAGACCAAAACTTTAAAAAGTTAATTTTTTGAAACATTTTTGAGGGGAATCCGCAAAACTAGGGAAACACCCAGAAGATCACCACTTCCCCCGTCACTTCCCTCGTGTTGATATTCTGGGTTTAGTCTATTTTTTGAAAACTCACCATTAGACAAGCACTTAGAGCTACCACAATAAGCGGCAAAATAAACACGTAGCAAAACCTAAACCAATTTGTCGGTCTTACGCGCCTTTGAGCCTTCTTCTCTACTAAAGGCAATCCCCTCTCTTTAAAATCCGTAAAGTCTAAATGGTCTTGATCCGTGTCATTAACAAAATGTGCATCGCTTTCTGTGGTTGTTGTTTGAGAAATGAAAGAAGTAATTACAAAGAAGAGCGTTATTAGAAGAAGAACAATTTTTGTATTGAACATTTTAACTGAAAAATAAAAATGAATTGAAAAAAAAGAAAAATGATAATTACATTTTTAATTAAGTGAATGAAGAAATGAACTTGAATAAATTTAAATCAACTCAATTTTTGTTTTTATAGCATAATTGTATCAGTTAGATGTGTTTCCCAATCCGTCCTTAAAAGTTGAGGACTTTTAGTTTTTTCTTAAAGAGTTTGTGGCTTTTCCTTCCCCTGGTCTTGTTCTGTGTCGTCCACTGACACCGCTTCCGAAAAAATTTATCTCAAAATGCCCTCCTCCTTCTCAGGAAATATCACCTTTTCAAAACTGAATTATTGAAAGTTGATAGAAGAGTTGATATATGTATAGGGGTTGAAAGTTGCCCCAATTTTTTGCAACATACCTTTTTCTTTTGATTTAATGAATTTTTTTGTTAAATTTTTTTAACTTTATTTTATAATTCTTTTTTTTATTTAAATTTAGATAAACTTTTTTCCGATAAAATTTTGAATAATTTTAAAAAAATACATATGTTCAATTAAATGAAATGAGGAATTGGCGGGGTTGAATAGAATGGGTGGGATTTAATTGATAACATTTTTAAAATTCAAACACCTCCTCCTCTGTTTGTTATTTTTTTCTTTTTAATTTTTTCCACAAGTTAACAATTTAATGCTTCTTATTGTTTAATAAATTTTAAAAAATTTATTATTTATTTATACCAAAAAAATCCAAAAATGGATCAAGTTTTTATATAATCAAAAAAAATGAAGGAATGGGAAGGCTTGTTTATGTTGTGTCAGAACCAGAAAAGGAACATTTAAAAAAGATTAAAATATAAAAAGGTTGCAGTGAAAATTGTTAAATTTTTCGTAAAATAAAATTATGTTGTTCACACCCCTTTTTAAATATCCTTTTTTTAATTTTAAATTTCACTAGAGTTGATTAAATATATATTTATTTGGAATTTTTCTAATTTTTCTGATCCTTTTTTAAAATAAAAATAATAATTACAATATTTTTACTTTTAACAGAGAAATATTCCAATTACAGTCAGATTATCAATTTTATGTATATCCTTAATATATTCATTATTTAGGGAATTGCTTAATAAGCTACACCCACCCAGATTTAAAAAGATTTACCCTAAATTGAGGATTGGATATACATAAAATTAAATTTTGACTGTATACATGGGGTACACCCCAACTTACCGCGAGCCCAACTCGTCGCAGAGCTATAACTTCGTTCAGAAATGTCGAATCCGGGGCACCCTGGTATAGTTCGATTCAGCTCGTCGAGACGCATCGAATCATACCAAGGCGTACCGGATTCGGCAATTCTGAACGAAGTTATAGCTCTGCGGTAAGTTGGGCTCGCGGTAAGTTGGCCTGCTCCCGTATACATGGTTTAAAACAAGTTTTTAAAATGAGCGATTTTTATATATATTTTGTGCAAAGGCAGATGGCTCGAATGTTGTTTGTGATTTTCAAATGAAAAAAACTTTAAACTAGTGACCAATTCTTTTAAATATTTTTTGAAGATTTCTTTTAAAATATTCTCTAAATTTTTTGTCAAAATATCTGGTCACGAGTTTTTAAATTTATATTAAATACAAGAAAAGTATTTTTAACAAAATTTCTTGTCAAAATTAAAATAAACGAAATTTTGTTTAAAAAATTTTAAAAATTTTAGAGAATACGAAAATGAAAGTAAAGCATTAATTGGATTTTTTGAAGGTATTTTTGATTAATTTAAATATTATTTTACCGAGAGTACCGAGAAATTGTTCTCTTCAATTTTTTTGTTTTTAAAAATTAAAAATTTTTATTGAAAAATTAATAATTTCCCAAATTATAAAAAAAAAATAAAATGCTTCACTTAAATTATAAATATAAAGAAAAAAATTATTTTTGAGTTAATTCAGTCAAAGGAAAACAATTATTTTTTTTAAAAAATAAAGCAAAAAACAAGGGAAAAAATTTTTTTCCACCCCCCAAAAAAGCAAAAAAAAATTTTTTAATTTTTCTTTTTTTCATTCCCCTCTCTCTCATCTACTCGTGCTTTCCCCTCCACCATCTATTAAAGGTTCAGGTGTTGTTTTAGTTGAAGTATTACTATTACCATCGTTATTCCCCCCTCCATTCTTCCGGAACTTTGAATTTAACCACATGGCAAAACATCCAGTTATTGATGAGGAATTACCGCTTTTACCTTCTAAAATAAGAAAATAAATTTTTAATTAGAAAAAAAAAAGAAAAGAGGATATGACGAAAGAAAGATTTATTTGAATGATTTTGAAAAAAAAATTATTTGAGGAAATGACGTTAGGAACAAAACAAAAAGGGACAAATATAGACGATCGCTTGTATGTCTGTGGTGCAGTTGGATAGTGCTGCGTTTGTAAGGGAATAGTCGGAGGTTCGAATCCAACTCAGGCAAGAGGCTTTTATTTTGATATTTAGATAGAAAAAACGTTAAAAAATTTTTGAAGATGATAAAAATTTAATTTTTATAAAAATTATAGGCGACACTTTATCCCACCCTCTAAAATTAAAATCCTCAAGAATCCTTTCACAAAAAAATTTCAATTTCCCAACCTTTCTTCTTCCTTTCCCGTTCAACACTTTGAGTTCTCTTTGATTTCTTCTCTTCATTTTTTGTATTAGTCTTATTAGATGATGACAAAACATCGTCATGGCTTGATCGATGTGTAAAAGGTTTTGAAGTTTTAATTGTTTTTGTTGTTTCACTTTTACTGGGAGATTGGATATCCGAACTTTTAATTTTTTTATTTTGAATTTTTGTTGTTTTTTGATCTTTAGATGATGAATCTTGGGCAACTGAAGAAGTGTGGGCAGATAATTCAACACCTTTAAATGTTTTCATTTTTTAACTAAAATACGAAAAAATTATAAAAACCTTCAACAATTGCATCCAATGGTTTACGCAACGAAGCTGAAATTGGTTTTAAAAAAATTAAAATTGTAATTTTTATTATCAAGAAAAAAATATGTAGAATACCAAGCCTCTAAAATATTTAAAAAATCATTTTTGATAAAGTGGATTATTTTATCAAAAAGATATGAGGAATTCTAATCAGGAATCTGCTATTCTTGTTTCCTTGAGTAATATTACCTAGTATTACCTTCATAGTAAAAAGGGTTTGAGATAATACGGCGGAATTTTTCGAACACGACACCCCTCGGTACCTAGCTTAAAATTGGCTGATATAAGGGAAAATGGTATTCAAGGGGGAAACAAATAAAAGTCATCCTAGGACCGAATTAAGCTGGTAGATGAAGGGAAGTGATGTGTGGAGGACGCTAATTAGAGAGATTCGATTGAATTTAATTTGTTTCGAAAATGGAATCAAAATATCAAAATTTTTATTTAAATAAAGTTAACCTGAACTTGTAGAATATTTTGGAGGTGTTTTAGCAGAAGGAATAACCATAACAGCATTGTTTGTTTGAGCGTTTTGAAAAGAAGTAGCGAGAACTGAATTTGTTGGAAGACTTCCAATACTTTGAGAATTCCTTGCTCTAGCAGCATTTGCTGTAATAACTAAATGGGTATTTGAAGAAACTGCTGACGAGGAAGTCTTTAAAAAATAAAAATATTTTTTATTTAATTATTTTAAAAATATTTTCGAAATAAACAAAAAAATTAAGAATCAAGACTATTGGTTCCGAAAAACTCACAAGAATATCGAAAGTTTTTTCTTGGAAGTGATAATTTCCTCCCATATTTTATTAAAAAAAATACGGGAGGAAATTAGGGAATACCTATGTCTATTAAAAAAATTAGAGATACTAATATAACAAGGAAAAAAATTTTGGACATTGTCAAGCGAATGTAAAATTCAGATAATGTGATGGGATTGGAACAAAATTTACTAAAATAAAGTCAAAAAAAAATTTAAATTACCACATGTATTGCATTTCCATTAGCAAAATCCTGCAAACTTTGTGCTCTAGAACGAACTAAAAAATACAAATATTTTTAGAAAAATAAATTTAAAAAAAAACCATTTTTAATTCGTGCCGGTAATGGCTGGGAAGGAAATAATTTCATATCTTTTGTTACTATTGGAGCCAACATTTTTGTATTTTTAGGATTTATTTAAATGTTTAATTAAAATCTGAAAATTAAAAGAAATTTAATTTTAAAAAATTATAAAAAAATTTTGTAAAAATCATTCTAACGTAATTTAAAAAAAATTTAAAAAATAAACTTTAAAAGTTTGTAACTAAAGACCGAACCACACAGCAGATCAAAATAGGTAAAGGCGGCTACTCGCCTTTCATTGTGGGATTATGGCCTAGTTGGTTAGTGCGTCCACTTTAAGGCAGAAAATGAAGGAGATTCGAACACTTTCAATGAAACAATGAAAGCCACTAAAACGGCTAAAAGTAACAGGCTGATCTGCTGTGAATCAATGGTAAAATATTATTTATCCTACTCTAATCCAATCTCTATTTGAGCCAATTTTTGATTAAAAAGTCGAAATTAAAATAAAAAAATTTCAAGAGCGAGGGCTTAAAAATTAACTTCTAAACAAAATTTTCTGACCAAAAATTAATAAATTTGGACCAAAATGGTAACTCTAAAAATAATTTAAAGTAGAAATTAAACACAATTTATAAAAAAAGATACAAAAATACAAGTGTAGTTAGTAAACGAGACACAAAATAAAACTTGTTGTGATTTTAACTTAAAAATTTAAATGCTTTGATAATCGGTTAATATGTAAATACTAGAGATCGGAACGGGACGGGATCTAGCACAGGATTTTACCGGACCCGGGTTTTGCGCTGAAAACGAGATTACCGGGATTTACAGGAGGATCCTGTCTCGATCGAACTTTTGAAACGTAATCCCGTTCCGGGATCCCGGGAATTTTTTCAAATTTGCGGGATTTTAAATTATTTACATAAAAACCCCAAGAAAATTTAACTGAAGCTATTTTAAAAAATAAAATTTCATTAAAAAATTTTTTTAAGTGATGCAAAAATTATTTTAAATTGCACAGAGAAAGTAAAAAAATAAAAAAAATTTTCAATAAATTAATTTTTGAATAAAAATATTCAGAAAAAAATTAAAGACATTTTAGATTTAAATAATCTCCCTAAGAAAAGCTATTTTTCATATAAAAATACACCTACACACAAATAAATCCGTATAATTTTATAAATGAAAAGATATTAAAAAAGAAACTAATAACAAATATCAAGTACTTACTAGCTTTTCTGCTACTTTAAATCGATTTAATTTCTCAGGATGAGTAAGGGATATTTTTTGAGCAAAGCAAAAAAGTCTGCTGACTGGTAGATTAAGCAGCTGAAAAAGGGGACGTTTGAGTATTTGAAAGAGATGAAAATTTATTTAAATTTAGTTTATTTGGAAGTAAAATTGAATTTTAATTTACATAATTTAAAGCTTGCTAAAAATCGTTTCCATTCGATGTGTAAAAATAAAATGTGTTTAATTAAATACTCAAACATCAAATTTTGTTTTAAATGCTAGACACACCTGCATAAAAACACGTCGACTTGACGCGAGTCAGATAACTTTGGTAATCTTGATGTTTTTGTATAGTGAGATGATTCCATCAGTTAAATGGTTGTTTTGTTCCGGTACACTGACTTGTCCATAGAATAAGACGTCTCACATGCAAAAACTTCAGCTGGTACAAAACACATCTTTAAAATATCAGTGTCTGAACCTGACAGTCGCACAACTCTAAATATGTCTGACAGTTTCTAAAAATTGGACAGCCGCCATTTACAGCCGATTGGGTGCAGAATTTTTTAATTCACAATTTTGCACTTCAAACCTATTCTTGTTGATCGTAGGCTCATCATATTTGTTATATTTTGATAAAACATGTAAGTTAGAATCAGGAAACCAAAAAAATTTTAAAATTTATACTAGACATCTGCTACGTTTTATTGCATCAAAGGCCGTCTTCTACACCTTCAATAGAAACCTTCAATTGTTATGTACATACATCTCAAACTTTATTTTTTAAAAATTAAAATTTATACTCTATGTGAAACAATTAAAATTTATCAACAAAAAATATACACGTAAAGTATCAACTATTATTATTACTTTTCTTGACCTCGTTACTTTTTAGTTGCCATTGGTAATTAAATATAAGAAAAAAAATGTCGCTAGCGCGATATTTCGTCAACATGCATAGAAACATGCCTGTATTTATATATAAAAAGATTGTTGAAAAAAATAATAATATCGACTGGATGTCTTCTACAGCTTAATGAGAAAAAAAGGAACATCTTTCCTCCCTCTCGTCATTTTAAATTCAAAAATTGTGGATACCTTAATTATTATTTCCTTTCTAGCTTGTACATAGAAGAGACAGTCACTCTCTCTTGTATAAAATATATGTACATGTTCCTTTTCCGTTTTTATATATTCTTTCCTTATAGCAAAACGTCTGTCACTACTAGGTCACTAGGGGAAGAGAAAAAGAAAAGAAGAAATTCGTCTTCTCCTTTTTTTATCCGTTTACACACTTTTTTTTATAGGCATATGTTCATACACTCTCTTCTTTTTAAAATCAATAATACTCGCAACAAAGCACCAAAAATCGCGTTTTTTAGATCATCTTAGCGTGCCAGCCGGCGTTTAAAATTTTTTTAGTATACGTAATAAATTGAGGCTTAATTTGGAAATTTTCTACACGTGTATTGATGGAGAACCCTAAAAATATTTCCCAGTCTTTCCCTTGTTTGAGGTGAAGGTTTAAATTTCAATGACCAAGTATCGACAAATTCCTATTTAAATTTTTTTTCTTAAAAAGCAACAGGAATTCCCGGATTTTTTCCGTTTTTGTCAAACACAGTGCCGGAAAAAAAGGCGCGCCGAAATTTGCGGATTTTAATTTGCGGACCCGAAATTTGCGGACCCGAACTTTGCGGACCCGAATTTTGCGTACCCGAACTATGCGGACCCGAATTTTGCGGATCTGAGATTTGCGGACCAAAAATTTGCGGACCGACAATAGAGTCTACTGAACCTCGGAAATTTCAAAAATTTTAGCCTGCGGCGTTAATTAGGATAAATTCAGGCATCATGATTTTATGAAATGGCCATATAAATGATTTTCTTATGGAATTTTCTTGATTATTTAAATTATGAAATAATTTTAAGATAAAAAATTGATAAAAATTTTGAAAAATCAAGAAAAAATCTTGATCTGGTACGGATCATGCTAAACTCTGCCGGAATCCTCGAAAAATAAAATTTTTAATTTTTCCTTTTTACTCAATTGTCTGTCCTAAAATCTTGGTTCCGCAAACATCAGGTCCGCAAACTTCGTGTCCGCAACCTTCGGGTCCGCAAATTTCGTTCCGCAAATTTCGGGTCCGCAAAGTTCGGGTCCGCAAAATTCGGGTCCGCAAAGTTCGCGCCACGGAAAAAAAGATAGGACTTAGGCTGTTAATTTAGTTTTTATCGATTATCTCTTTTCGGTTAACTTGTAGAAAAAAAGTTTCATCACTAAAATTGTAGATCTTTAAATGCTCTTTAAAATGAGTATAAATATCAAGATAATTTACCGACAAAAATTTTCCCAAAAAATTTTTTTCCGGCACTGTATTTAGCGATTTTCTTTCGAACAAATTTCTAAAAAATTCCCTCATTTTCTATAAAAAATCTTTTTATTTCGAATTTTTCCGTTATTAATTTCTTTGGTATTTTTACAGACAGACATGTAAATTTGGATTTTTTCTACAGGGTGACAAAAAAGTAACCGGGCACTTTATTTTTGGTATAACTTTTTTCAAATTAAAGATAATGAGATCAAATGATGATGAAATTATAGAGAAATAAATAGAGAATAAGATATAAAAATCTTTTAGAATTTTCCCTATTCTACTTTGAGATAAGGTTAAAGGAAAGTGCGAAAAATTATTGCTCCAGGTCGCACCTTTTTTTGAGACATTTTGTCTATAACATTAGAATAGATTGCAGTAATTACACAAAATTTTTTCTGGCATCTAGAGCAGTCTTTTATCTATAGAAATTATAAAGCAAAAAATTTTTCAGATTAAAGCTTAAAGAGATATTCGATTGCGCGTAACCCTCCCGAAATGAGAAAATCGCATTCCCCCCAAAACTGATTTGCATCTATTCAGAGCCATCCATGTAGGAGTTGGAATTTTCATCTTTCGGATTTGTCCGGTTCGCTAATGATCTTAATTAAATTCTGTTGAGATCATCCCGTTTGGACTTCTCCTTTCTGAGATACAGAAAATAAAATTTTAGGGGGAAAATTTTGATATGGTGTACCTAAAATTACATAACTTTCTTAATCCTTAATCAAAAATTTTTTAATTTTACTATATAATAGAGAGAAATAACTGGGCTACAAAATAAGCTTGGAATTATCTAAAAATGATATGAACAAAAAAAGTTATAAAGGATAGAAAAGTGCCCGGTTACTTTTTTGTCACCCTGTAGGTTTATTTTCTATCGATTATTTTTATTTTGTTTATTTTTAATGGCATATTTGCATAATGGCAGCTTTTAAAATTTAAAAAAATTCAAAATTAATTTAACGCATTAACTAAATTATGTAGAGTCTACTAAAAAATTATATTTAAATTTAATTACTCTTATATTTAATCAAAAATTCAGTTGCCAGCGTTAACACGAGAGAGAAAAATTGATTTTTTATATCGCTAACTATTTTTTATAGGCGTCAGCTGGTTTCTACTTTTTCTTTATTTTTTTAATTAACAACTAAAATAAATAGTACATTAATTTTACAATACAATTAATTAAAAACAGTAAAACTCTAAACAGTCAAAACGGAGCCGCAAAAGAGACAAAACTTCCGTATTATTTTTAACAACCATTGGCGGCATAGAACAAAGTCCGTTAAATAACAAGTGAGTAGCCAGAAAAATGTTTTTTATAAATTGTTGGGGGTCGTCTTGGTGCCTTTTTCGATTTGGCGCCAATTACACTTTAATCGCTTATTTGGCTGCAAATTTTCACATGATGAAAGAATTGTGAAAATTAATCATTTGAGAAAGAAAATTAACAAATAAGCAGCTTTCGAAATTAAAAAAATATTAGCAAAGATTGCCAAATCAAAATTTAGTAGCAAATTTGTAGAGAAAATGCTTCACGTCAAAATTGGGCGCGCCGAAACGGTCATCCAAAATTTAAAAAATAACCTTTTGTAAATTAGTCTTTGCTCTTTAAAAAATCAATTACTAAAATAAAATATGGGAAAATAAGCAGCGGCAATGTACACAAAATTTTCTATTAATTTAGATAAAAATCAGGCACATTAATTCTGTCTTGTACATTTTTCTACTCCAAAATTGGAGTTTTTTTGAAAAAGCAAAATGATGGTTGATGACATTGAACCACCTAAACCTACCCCTATATTTGGAAATGGGACGTCATTGGTAACTAATGGAATTAACAATTCTTCATTAGCTGCACTAATGCATTCAAATATTCAATCATCTTCTTCTACAACAGCGGGTCCAAGTTCTCTATTCCTCGGAACTCCTCTTTCTACAATGCTTCTTGCGAGTAATCAACAACAACAACAAAGCTCAGGAAGTAGTTCTAGCAGTGTTGGTGGAGGAATGGGGTCCTCTGGATGTAATGGAAGGTTACAACCTAGACAAAGTAAGAGGGGATTTTTAAATTTGGGTTTTTAATAATGTTAATTGGAACACTTGCTATTATTCTTTACTCTTTAATAAAACTAATTTTATCCTGATTACACCCAAAAGATCAACACGTTATTGTTTTCTTCGATCATTAAAAGGATTTTAGTTTGCTATATTTTTATTATTTCTTAAGGAAGGAAAGTTCCTGATGGCGAACTATGTGCTGTATGTTCGGGTATGTGTTTTATTAATACATTTATATAGGGTAGCACCCCGTCCGTCGAAGCCCTCGACCCGAAGGCCCTACCCGACATAACTCGATCCTCAACGCCCACCCCCGTGCGGGCAAAACCCTGACCCCTGAAACCCCGACTATTGTTTCGGCAAAAAACCCCGATGGCTCTACCCCGGCAAACCCCGAAAATCTGCACTTATAGGTATATTTTTATCTTGTATGTTGCTCGTTTCGATTTTTCTTTTTTGTCCCTCACATGAACTCAATTATCCATTACTAGATGGGATATAATCTAGAAATTAATTAACCCATGTTTCCGAAGTTTGTTTAATGTTTATGCCCAACTATTTTATTTTTCCAAAAATTTTTAGACAAAGCAACAGGCTATCATTATGGTGTTGCAAGTTGTAATGGTTGTAAAACATTTTTCCGAAGGACGATAGTTTCTGAACATAGTTTTGGTAGTTGGTTAATTAATTATTTGATAGAAATTTAGCTCTTTTAGTTTGTCAATATAATGGAAGTTGTGATGTTACTAGAAATGTTAGATGTGCTTGCAGGCATTGCAGGTTTTTATTTGAAATTCTAAAAAAAGGAAATCGGATTAATTAAAAATTAGAAAAATTTCGGGAATTAAATAAGTAATTTTGCCGGTTATTATGGGGGAATGATTTATTTAGGATTGTATCCATCTTTTTACCCTCCCTCGCTAAATGAAAGATCTTCTAAAAGGCATTTGAAGACTATAGTATTACGCGGAAAGGTAAAAATGGGCCTCATAAATGTTAACTAATACAAGTATTTTTGCTATAAAATCATGATCTTGTTAGATATCCTTTTCAATTTTTAGGTTTCAAAAATGTGTTGCCGTCGGGATGGACGCCAGAGCGATACAAAATGATCGGGACAGGTATTTTATTAGTATTTTATTCATAACTATTTTTAATTTTTAAAAGAATCGGCCCAACAAAGATGCGTTTATCTTCTGGCGGGGCAGTTGAGGGTAGAAAACGCAGTTCTGTCGATGAGGATCAACTTTCTGTGGCTTCTTTATCACCACAAATGAGACAACAAGACGGGAAATTGTTGGAACACATTGTTGCAATGTATATATTTTTTGTTTTTTAGAAGTAAAAAAGACATTGATTTCTGTTCATTCACAGATTTTTTTATATAATATTGGGAAAATTTCTAGTCTTTAATGTCCAGTTTACGAGTTGAGATTCGAACTCACCTAAATAACCCTTCCCCGTGTGTTAATGTCGGGGAGCAAATAAAGGCTACCAAATAAGGGCTACAACTTTCTATCCTACCAAGGGCGTAGCCAGGAGGGCTTCTGGTTCATTCAGAAGGGGCTATAGCAGGGCTGGGCGAAATATTATAAAATTCGAAACTTTAAAAAAATAAAAAGTGAAATGCGAAACTTCGCGCTAAAAATGCGAAACGCGAAATTCCGAAATAAGCCCAGCCCTGGGCTTTAGCCTCTCCCCCGAACTGACTACTCCCTTATACCCTACAAACCTTTAACATATATCAGAACACCTCATTCATTGCCACCACTTTTAAAATAAATTTAAAATTCATTTTATTATTTTAGAGAAAACCTTTGTAATGTTCTTCGCAATTGCTGTCTTGAAGAAAGCAAAGGTGTGAGAGAAACATTGACACAGCCTTCATTACTTTTCCAAGCACAAAACTTACGAAAAGATGTTTTATTAAATTTTTTTTATTTTTAATTATTTATTTTTAAGGTCAATACAATTTTTAAAGACCTTTATCCAGGTTTATTTTTAATTAAATGTTTTTATAAACCTTAATTTTTAGCTTCCATGAATGATATCCAAATGTGGAATATTAGGGAGCTCAGGCTTTGTTTGGAATGGGCTAAGACTTTTGATGAATTTCAACGACTTTCTGACAATGACCAAGTTTGTTTTTTAGCGGGATTGTTGTAGAGATCGGACAAATTTCTTCTGTCAAATATATTGATTTCTCTCAATGCAGGAGACACAAAAAAATATGCATATTTTGGGAATAGAATAGGCAAACGATTTTTTTCCAAACATTCTTTGTCTGCAATCGACCACTGGTCAGTTTTTTATGCGTCTCTTGCATTGAGAGAGAGGTCAATAACATAGGCGTCCTGAAAAGAGATATACATATATTTGACAGACAGAATTTGTCCGGCTCTAGATTGTAGCCTCGGATTTGTCAATTTTGAGCGGAGTTAAAATTTTGCGGTACTTTGGGTTTGCTTTACCTTGGCCTGCTCCCTTTCTCTAAAAATTATTTTCTAAAAATTATTTTTCTTAATTTAGTTTTCGCTAGTCCGAAACTTCGCATTCACTTATAACATCCTGAACAGGTTTGTTTAAGTCATTCTTTTAATTTTTCTAATTAAAAATATTTTTAGAGTCTTCTATTCATTGGACTACGGACCAGATAAAATAGTTTATCCCAATGGCGCATATATTTTAAGACAACCCCAGGATAGTGTTAAAATACCTGGATGTAAGTTTTCCATTAACCGGACATCCAAATTTTATATAATTAATTTAGGTCGATCAATATATCATCGTCAAATGGATGGTCTGTTAAAAAAAGATTAGAGCTGTATTGAAATTTTTTGAGATTTAATTTTTTTTAAATTTTGATCTCAATTTTTTGATCTCCCATTTTTTAATTTAAATTCCTTTAACGCTGGTATCTCTATTTTGAGGGTTTTCTTAAAGTCAGTTCGACTTACAAATCCAATGCTTGAATTAATATTTGTGATGTGAAATTTACTAAAAATTTCATGCCTTTCTAATAATTTTCTGAAAAATTTAAATTGAAAATTTTCGTAAAACTGGAAAGAAAAATTTCAATACAGCTATAATTGTCTAAATTATTTTTTAATTCTTTAGAAATCATGATTCCATTTCGAAAACTAGAAATTTCTATGCGTGAATTTGCTTGTTTCAAAGCTTGTCTTTTCTTCAACCCAGGCATATTTAAAAAATTTTCTGAATTAATTCTTTTAAAAATTTTCATTTTAGACGCTCTAGATTTGTCTCACGAAGTTCGGGAAAATATTGGAAATGAAAGGACAAAATATCTTACCGTTCTTTTCCAAATAATTGTTGAAAGACACAATACAAGCTTTGGAGTTCAAAAATATGGAAATATGTTGATGATGTCTCAATCAATTCAGGTAAATTTTTGTTGTTGAAAAGAAAAAATATTTTTTGATTCTAAAAATAAGTAGAGTGATTGGGAAATGCGAAGAATTTTATATTAAATTTTTGGCCAAAAAAATTTACAGATCGTTTAACAAAAAAATTATTTATTTGACATTTTTGTTTCAACCCTCTAGATAAAGAAATAAAAAAATTAATTTCATCATTTACACATCAAAGATGATTGTTTGGAGAGGGAAAATAGTTTCAGAGTTGCATTTCTATAAAACCCATTAGGGAGGGGAATTGCTTGTGTTTCCCAATATTTTTTTTGTTTTTCTTTGTTTTCGTTCTGAGAAAAGAAAATTTTCTGTTGGCCTATAAAGGTTGAACGATCAAATGATTTAAACAAATGAAAGGAGAAAAAAGTAATAAGGGAAACCTGCACACAATCGGCGAGAAAAGGAAACAAATGAAAGAGAAAATATTGTAGCGCGTGGTTGTCTGGTTTAGTTAGATTTATGAGTCAAAAAATAAATGTCTGGCCTAGATTTAAATAGTAGATAAGTAACTGGAATGATTAAATTAATATGACAAAAGTGTACAAAACGAAATAGGAAAAAAAGAACAGAATTTTGGAGTAAAAATTGGAGATTTGCATTAAAAATGCTAAAAATAAAGAAGAAAAAATGCAACTTTTTCCTTTAATAAATAAATTAAAAGATTAGAAAACGGTTTAAAAATTAGGGGGGATATACATTAAAAAACATCAAAAATTGTTGTTTAATTGCTAGAAATATAGCGACCAAATTTATGTTTATTTAAAGACAAGAGGGGGGAGGGAGTGAAAGAGGGCCCTTCCCACCAAAAAATTTTCTTTCATTTATTTAAAATGATGTTTTTAGTCATCAGACAATCATCCTTGACGTGTGATGATGAATAATAATTGGGAAATAAAAACTAAAAAAATATTGTCAAAAAATAATTTTTTAATCAAAAATTAATTCTTTTAGAACATCATTGACCAAAATGATGAAAATATGCAAGTTATGGAAGTTTTTGGGTAAGAAAAAATTATTTTTGAAAGTTTAAATTAAATTGAAATTTCTTTAGACATTTTTGGCGAATTAATGGGTTTGTTAAAGAATTGTGTATGAAATGAAAATAGAAGGAAGTATTTAAAAATAAAAGAAAGACGGGGACATTTAATAAAAATTAATTAATAAAAATCAAAAAATAACAGAAACGCATCAAAGAATCTTTTTTACAAGCGTAACCTCTTAAACGCGGACCTCACTCTTTATCATTACAAAAAATTCCTTTATTTAGTTACTATATCACTTTCTAATTTGCACTTTCTATTTAATATTTTTTATATATTTACTAAGTACAACAACAATTTAATATTTTAAATTTAATTAATTTTGTATTTAATTTTCTCTACGAACATGTATGTATCTATCTCTTTTCTATATTCCAAAAAATCTTTCAGCCCGCTGTTTTAACATACATCAGTACATACATTCTATTTTTATACATGGTTCCTGCCATAGTACTTAAATAAAATTAATTAATATTTAAAAGATTTTTTTCTCTATAAACAATAAAGGGTTAATAAAAGAATGAGAAACAGGTTTTTATCTAAAATTTTAAAGTAGGGTAGCTCCCCAAGCCTTCGGGGTCAGAGGTGTCGGGGTTTGCCGGGGAGGTCATGTCGGGTTTCGAGGTCGGGGTATGGGAGACGGGGAGCTACCCTAGTTTAAAGGCATATTTCTCAAAATTTTTTGAGGAAAGAATGAGGTGATGTGAGACTGATCTCGATGATCTCCTTTCTGCTACTGTAGAAATAGTTACTATTAACTTTTGAAGACTTAACTAATTTCTTTTGATATTTACTAGTTTCATGGAAGTAATAAAAATGGAAGGATGAAGCTACTTTTCAGTAAATATTTTTGTGGCCATTAAGTTTAAAAGCGGTTGAAACAACCGATATATAATTTTACTAACATACTAAATTTATTGAAGAGACGGACTCTATTTCTGTTGCATTCCTAACACCGCTGCCAAAAACCTTTTGGCCCTTTTGCTTTTCTAATGGCTAGTCTTCTCTTTTTTTAACCCGTATGTCCAGCGGATTCTTTGTATTCTCTAATGCAAACAGAGAATTGCAGCGAAATGGTCGATGAAAATAAGTACTATCTGAAAAATCATGGAATTTATTTTTTGGGTAATGTCCTAATTTTTTTTAAATTTTAAACTTCTCTGCGGATCTGGAACTTTTTAGCAGTAAATTTACTACAAAACATATTTGCTTAAGGCCATGCGTTTTTATTGTGTCTCTGCACAACAATTAAGAAGCAATACAATAATGTATTTATTACACAAAAGAAATACATAAAATAATATTGAATTAATAGAATAAGCCTGGGGTAATGTTTAGGAGACAATTAGGAGACACGGACTGACAATTTGTGAGGCTTTTATAGTATTTTAGTATTTAGTATATTTTAGTATTATAGTATTTTAGTATAGTATTTTTTCATGATTTTCTGTTTATGCATGAATATTTTGATTTTTAAAAATTTTTTATTCATTTTAGACAACTAATTTTGTATATTTATTAATTTAAATTATTTTATTCGTCAACAAAATGGAATAAAATTTAAATAAAAAGAATGAGTTGGAACAATTTTAATATTCCACCAACAGTTAGTGAAGTAGATGTTGATGAAAGATTACAACAACAAGATGGGGGAAGCTCTTTAGTTGGTGGAGAGGAGTCAGATGAGGCTTCTTCTGACACAATTAGAGCCCTTCATGATTCAAAATTGGAACCTCTAATGATCTCAGTTTGTTTTTAATTTTGTGATTTATTCTAATTATTTTTTAAAGATGTTGGAACAAAGAGACAGACTTCAGGAACAGGTTGGGGTTTTTTCTGGTTTTTATTTTTCAAGATAGAAGGTTCTATAGGCTTGTGAAAAATATATAAATTAGGACGGTGTTTGTAAGGAAGAGGTTCATGCATGTAAATTTTACAAACAGCAAAATTCTTTATTTGTGCCTAAGCCAACCAGGCCCGTACCAGGGGGTAGGGCGCTGAAAAACTGAATTTTTTTGTCCGCGGCCTTCTAAAATTCTCAAAATTTTCGCCTTTAGGAAAATGCTTCGTCTCAAGCCTCATTTATATACAAAATATAATACATATTAAAATTTTGCGAAATTTTTTATTTTCAAGCTTGTCAGAATGCAAAAACGAATAGAAGATGCAGATGAGCGTTGTCGTGATGCAATTCGAGAAAGAGACTCTCTAAGAAGACAATTAGAAACAACTAGACAGGACTTGCCTTCGGTTATTTTTAAAATTAATTTTTAATATTTTTGTTTTCTTTTAAGGAGGTACAAACACTTACACGGGAATTAGCTCATTGCCGGGAACAGCTTTATGAGAAGGAAGAAGAAATTGTTGAATTGAAAGCTGAACGTAACAATACTCGATTACTTTTGTGAGTTTTGTTTGAATTTTCTTAAAATTATTTCTTTGATTGATCAAAGGATTGCCTTTTTCATTGGGTGTTTCTAACCGCCTTTTTAAGTTCTATACCATAGCGACATACTCTTGATTTTTTATTTAAATTTTCTTTGGGTATTTAAATATCTTTTGATATTATTTTCGAGCGGAATTTTACTTGCCAATTTTAGTTTTACATCAGGGTTTCGGAGTACGGAGTTTTTTTGTTCGGGTTGGTGATAAATGTGAAAAATTGTTTCGGGAATGGGATCGGGGCGCAAACTATTTTACACATACAAATTTGAAATTGATTTTTTAAGTCACTCGTTGATTTTCTTCAAAGAAAAAATTTTTTAAAGGGAACATCTTGAATGCCTTGTTTCTAAACATGAAAAATCGTTGCGCTTTACCGTTGTTAAGAGACATTCTCAAATCAATAGGGACAATTCCGTTTCTTCTGAAGTAGAAGTTTTAAAAGCTTTGAAATCTTTGTTTGAGCATCACAAAGCTTTGGAAGAAAAAGTTTTTTTAAATAAAAAAGTAATTATTCGATTTTTTGTTTTTTAAGGTAAGGGAACGCCTTAAAGTAGCAATTGAAAGAGTTCAATCTCTTGAAGTTGAATTAAATGGAAAGGTCGAGGAGAATGCAACATTAAAATCAAAACTTTCTAAAGCGCTCGCTGAAGCTAAGAAAAATATCAATGAGGTTCTTTTAATTTTTATTAGATTTTTTGATTATAAATTCGAGTGTTTTTTTTTAAATTTTTTACCAGAAATTTTTTAGAGAAATTTTTTAGTCATAAGTACCTAGAGCAAAATTCACTTTTTAAATAAAACTCGCTTCATTAATTTTTAACAGAATGAAAACAACATCGCAGAGGGTGATGGAAAACATATAAATTCATCTACTAAAGGCACATCTCCGAAACTATTCGAATTGCAAGAACAACTGGACAGAATGTCACAAGAATTGGCTACAACAATTAATCAGGCTAATGAACTAAATTCTAGGTTTTTAAAGAGGAAGATTCTTTAATTTTTTGTTTAGAAATGCTGAACTCGAATCAGAATTATCTAATGCCGGAAAAGAAATTCGACAAGCGAAAGAACAAGCCAATTCAGCTGAACAACAACTTCAGGAGGTTTTTGAAAAAAATTTTTGATGAATTTACTCAAAAATAATTTTAAAAATTTAGTTACAAGCACAGAGAGACGAACAAGAAGACAGAGTTAATTTATTAGAAAATCGTATATTAACTGCTCAACGAGAGAGTGCTTGTTTGAGAGAATTAAATGACAAACTTGAGTTTCAGGTAGATAATTTTAAAATATTTTTGATGGGTGGGTATTCTCTTCATACTGATAGTTTTTGAAATTTAGCGATTAAACCAAAATAATAGATAGATAAATGAAATAATTTAACTAATTTATAGTTGGCCAACAAGGACGCTACTATGCGTTTAAATGAAGAAAAGCTTCATAGTTTGCATGAACGGTTTGAACTTGCCGAAAAACAATTAGCACAGAGCCTGAAAAAAGCTGAATCCTTGCCTTCTGTTGAAGCAGAACTTCTTCAAAGGATGGAGGCTCTTACTGCTGCGGAACAGGTTTAAATAAAATTTTCTGAAAAAATTTAAAGAAATTTTAGAAACATTTGTCAGCCGAAGAACGTATTCAACGTTTAGAAGTTTTATTAAATGAACGTTCAGCAGAGTTAGATCGGGCTGTTCAACGGGAACGTATGAATGAGGAACACAATCAACGTCTTTCTTCTACTGTTGATAAATTGCTTAGTGAATCAAATGAAAGGTTACAAGTTCATTTGAAGGAGAGAATGCAGGCACAAATAGAAAGGAATATTTTGATGCAACAATTGGACCAAGCAAAAAAATTATTTGACCAGGTTTTTAATTTGATGATAAGTTAATAAAATATTTTATCTGTTTTGAAAAATACAATGCTACAATGATCGATATACAAAAAAATATTTTTTTGTTTAAGGCTGAACGCTTCAAAGAACGAGCTACAGCCGAAAATGAAGATTTACGCAAAGAAATTGAAATGCTTCGTAATTTAGTCTATTCTACACGAACTGCGCAATTTTATTCGAGGTTTCTTTAAAATTTATACTTTAAGGAAAACGTCGGAGAGAGCGAATACTTATTTTTTCTTTATACATATCTCTGTTGAATTTGTGCTTGTAATTTAAGATATTTTTTAATTTTTTAGATTAAATGGCTTTCCATGTCCGCCCACTCTTCCTATTGGCAATGAAATGGAACCTCAACCATATATTTTACCTCCTCCACGCCAGAATGCAATGAGTACATCAATGCCAACAGCAACCCCTGGAATGGTAAAGAGACGACTTCAGAAAGGAAGAGTAGGTGCTTTGCAGGAAGATCCAGGCAAAATACAAACTTTGGGAGAAAAAGAATGGGATCGTTTACAACAGGCTAGCGTTCTCGCCAACATTCAACAGGTGAGTTTTTATGCAATAATGAATTTTTTAAATTTGTCAACCCTTTGCATGTCTTTTATCTTTTAAAACATTTTTAGGCATTTTCTTCCTCTTCTTCTTTACTTAACATGAACAATTCTCCTTCCTTGGAACAACAACAACCGCCAGATCCTCACACATTGGCCTATGTACTACAAGAGAGATTGGATGCCATTAACAACGAAATTCGTCTTATTCAAGTAATCTTTAAAATTTTTATTTTAAATCTGAATTGTTAATTTAGGAGCAAAAACAACAAACAGAACGAATTGCAGCTGAACAAATGGAACAACAAAAAACATCTTGGCCGCCAAATTTACCAAATCAAGTTGCCGACACTCAATCAGCTGCCCAATTTAGCAATAATCCTTATGATATGGCATCTTATCTTGCTCGTGTCAGAGATTCACAATTAAACTTTAATGAACAACAAATGATGCAACAACGTTATCACGGCACGGATGAAGTAAAAAATTTTTTTTGAAAAATGTATAATCTTAAAAATTACATTTAGCATGTACCCGATCCAAATTGGATTCGAAATGGTGCAGATCAAGTCCATCACCAACGACGCTTTTCTCCAAGGCGAGGAGCAAGACCAGATACTGACCGTCAACGACAACAATTGCAGGACAGAATAAGTCCAGTTTCTTCAGTTGGAAGTAGTCCAGATTTGGGTGTTCCTGGGTCTTCAGCTCAAATTAATGCTACTGGAAGTAAACCTCCAAAAAAGTCAACATCAACAAGTAGTGGATTGAAAACGCTTGGAAGGATATTTGGTGGAAGTCAAAGGAAGAAGTTGGTTTTCAATTAGAATGAACTGTTTTTTGGTATTTTGGTTATTAATTTTCTGATAGGTTTTGTTGGGTTTCCGAGGTTTATTTATTTTCGGGTGTAAATTAGAATGTTTCTAAAATAATATTTTATAGAATAAATCTAAAATTCAGACGTGGCACAGATGCTTCTTCCTATTCTGACTCTGAATGTGGTCCTTCAATTACGGGTGGCAGCGTTGACAATTTAAACAAAATGGGGCACCAAAAGTTGCTCAATGGTGGATCAACATTGCCTATTACTAAAATGGCCTCATCTTCCTATGGGCTTCCACCGGCAGATTTTGACAAACGAAAAAGAAGGAAACATGAATTGCTTGAAGAGGTTGGGTAATTTTTTGAAAGAAATTTGTAAACCAAATTTTAGGCAATAAAAGCACGTACTCCTTTCGCGCTTTGGAATGGTCCAACAATTGTTGCTTGGTTAGAATTGTGGGTAGGAATGCCTACTTGGTATACAGAGGCTTGCCGGTTTGTTTATACAGAATTTACAATCGTATAAAATTTAATTTTAGAGCAAATGTAAAAAGTGGTGCTATTATGTCTGCTCTTTCTGACCAGGAAATTCAGCGAGAAATCGGAGTTTCTAATCCGCTTCACAGGCTCAAACTTCGACTTGCTATTCAAGTAAAACTTTTTAAGGGATAATTCAGACCTTTGATTTTCAAATTATTTAATTCTTAACTTAATTATGATTGTTGTAAATGTTCTTAAATTGCCAAGGAGCCTTCCTCTTTAACTCATTAATATCTTCATCTTTTTATATAATTTACATTTTATAAAATTAAGGAAATGGTTGCACTCACTTCACCTTCTTCACCTCGCACCCAACAATTCTATTCTGGTTTAGCTTTTGGTGAAATGAATCATGAATGGATTGGTAATGAATGGTTGCCTTCATTGGGTTTAGGAAGATATAGAGTTGATTTTATGGAGTGCCTTGTTGATGGTTAGTCTTTTAAAAAATTTATTGATATCTTTAAAATTTGGGTGGAATAGGTTCTTTTAGAGACAGAGAAAAATTTTCTTTTTATTATCTAAATTTTCTTAAAAATTTATTTTTAGCAAGAATGCTCGAACACCTTTCAAAACGTGACTTAAACAAAAGTTTAAAGATTGTGGACAGTTTTCATAGGTTAATTTATTCATTCGAACAATTATCCTTTATTTGTTTTAGAACAAGTCTTCATTATGGAATTGTTTGTTTAAAAAAATTAAATTATGAAAGAAAACAATTGGAAGAGAGAAGACAAATTTGTGAAAATGCTAATAAAGGTGAAAGGATATTCTAAAATAATTCGGGAGGGGACGGGGGGAGTAAGCAATCTGAAAATGTTGGTTTGATAAGCTAGCAATTTATATCAAAATGAAATCAAGAATTTGCTTTTCTAATTTGTTGCAATTCTAGACTCAATAAAACTTTTCCATGGACATAAAAGTCCATTGTTAATATTGTTCAGTCAGTCATAGTCAGTCCAAATTTAAGGGAATAACCCTACTTTTTGTTGATTAAAACTAAGTTTTTAGATTTACTTGTTTGGTCAAATGAACGAGTATCAAAATGGTTAGAAGAAATCGGTTTAGGTATGTTTATCGCCAATCTAGCAGATTCTGGTGTTCATGGTGCTTTAATGGCATTAGATGAAACTTTTGATGTCCCAGCTCTAGCCCATATCTTACAAATTGGGGATAATGATCAAGCTTTACGTGTATTAGATACACAATTTGGAAAATTAGTTTCAGAATATAGAATACCTACAAGTGGGAAAATAGGAAAACAACAACAGAAGGGAAGGGATAAAGAACAACAAGTAACAAAAAGTTAAAAGAAGGACTTTAAATACGAAATTTAATTTTTTGATTTTAAAAAGTCTCTCAAATCAGTCAATAATTTTCATCACGATATACATCCTTCACAAATCTTTATTAAAAATCTTTAATTTAATCCTACTTTCTGGTTTGTCATTTTAAATTTCTTTTAATTCTGGTTAAAGACATTTGGATATAACAAAACAAATTTAAGTGAGATTTCTTTTAAAGACTCGATCTACATTTTCTCTAAATAAGACCGGAATTATTTAAAGTTTTATTGGATAATCTCACATTTCCCTAATAACCGAAGGTGTCTATTAAGAGGATTTTAACCAGGAACAAACTATTATAATTACTGCATGAATTTTGTTTATATTTCGCACATAATTTTTTTTTGTTTTATTAAAGCAGATATGTTTGTTTATATCAATAATATTTTTATTTTTTTCAAATTCACCTAGAAAATATTTTTCTCTCAAATATTTCTTTTATTTTTGCTATTTTCTGCCAAATTTGTTTTTCTAAAATTGTAATCTCTTAAATGCTTTTCATATTTTTTGTTTTGGCATATTTTTTAAATTTTTTTCCGCTGAAAAGGTACAAAAAGCTGTGTGTTGTTTTAACTATAAATATAAATTTGCATAAATTTTAAAAACTAGGAAAAATTAAACTAAAAAAAGCTACATTTAATTTTTATTTTATACTTTTCTGAAAGCCCATTAAATTTCCTACAAAATCACCAAATTTCATTTGGCAGAAAAAAAAGTTACATTGAATTGTAAAACTTTTCTTTTTAAAGTCATAAGAATCACTCAAACACCCCCAAAAACTGATGAAAACTTAACTAATACACTTAACACATTATGTTATCTTGTAGTAAATTTAATGGAATCAGATTTAATCTTAGAAAGCATTACACATTTGCAACAAGATAATTTTATTTTTTCACAACAAATATGCCCAATCCTGGACGTTTTTAATGTGGAAACTGAAAATCATTTAAAAATATTTAAATTTTTTAAATTAGTTTTCTCGCGAAAAGTCAACTGCGTTTCAACTATTCCAGCATTGAAGAAATTAAATGATTTTTTGAAAAATAATGAATTTTCTCCTTTTTTTCAAATTAATTTTTTAAAGTTATTAACTATGTAACTTTATTGCCACACACTCCCCTTCAATTCCCCGACTTCCATCCTCCCATATTTTGATTTTTAAAATTTGACAAGTCCCAATCCCTGATATATTTTCAGACAATAGAATTTAAGTGTCCAGAATTTTTAATTATAGAATTAATTTATAGATAGAATAATGTGTAAAAAGACGTCTGGTTTTAATTATTTTATTAAATTTTAATTTTGAATATTTTAACAGAATTTTTTTATAGTTCTCCAAAAACTTTTAATTTTTAAAATTCATTTTTGTTTAAAAAATTTAAATTTATTTTTATTTTAACTCCAAATATTAAAATTTTTTAATTAAAAATTAAAAAATTTATTTAAAAAATTTATTAAAAAATTTTTTTCCTGCCCAATCCACGAGGAGTTGATTGATTTTTTCTTTAAAATTATATGTAAAATTCATTAATGTGTCGTTTTTAAACATGGGGAGAGAATGTGGGCATTCATTGTATAAGGAGGGGTAGAGAGGAAAATAAATCCCCCCCCCCCCTCCTCTCCCCTTCATTCAATAAATTTTTTTTTAATTTTTTGCTTGCCATCCCTCTTATGTTGTTTAATTTATTTATTTATTTATTTTTATTTATTTATTTATTTACTGCAATGCAGTGACAAATATATAAGCATGAAACACAAAAAGAATAACGTTAAAAATGTGTACAAATTCTGTAAAAAAAATATATATATGTCAATGGTAATAACAACAAAAAAAAATAAATATATTTTAGCAACATTAATGTTTTGGAGAATATCGATGTTTGGGATTAGTGTCATAAATTTGTGTGAGGTCATAAAATTCTATAAGTTTTTTGAATCGGCTGGGAGACGATCTTTTTATTTCATCTGGTAATTTAGAGTATTGGTTTGGAACTCTTATAAAGAAAGAGTTATGCCTGATTTGGTTGGAACAGGAAGGAACTAAAAATTTATATATTTCCCCTCTAGTAGAGGTTTCCTTTAATAAAAATGAATTGTTATGATTTATTTTTACTTGGTTATGTAATAATTTATGAAATAAGATAAGGTCTGTTTTTAGGCGGCGAATTCTTAGGCTAGTGAGGTTAAACTTATTAAGTAACATTTTAAATAAAATTATAAAATAAAAATTAAATTAGGACTTCAGCTAGGTAAAATTCAACTTTAAAAATATGGAAGAGGAGGGGAAGCAGGAAAGAGTTAATTGAATCTTATTTTAACAATCTTTGCCAAAATTTTTGTCTAGTTAAGGAAAAATTTTAAGTTTATTCCTATACAGAAACTGGAAACAAGATATGTATTGTAAGGCGGATATCATCCTAAAAACACGTGAAGAGCAATGTCGCTCTAGTTAACGGAAGTTTGCAGGAAGGTGCAAAGAATATTACAAACGGCCATTCCCAGAGAGTTATTAACCGCCTATTATCTTTGTTTATTATCGCCACTAACTTATCCTTGGGAAAGCGATTAGGAAGTAGAATGGTGCATATAAGCTCTAATGGAATAGGCAAAGGCAGATCACTTCTTCATTCATTCACCAGAGTTGCCGGCCGGCCAATCAATCGAGTCTATAGGGAAGAGCTCTCCCTATATTCCCCCACTGCGATTCACCTATTTCTATACTCTGCGGAGTTCACACAAGGACGCTTGCGAAACTCCTATTTAACAACCCCCATTTAGAAGGCACTGGGAAACGGGACCAACCGCTTTACTGGTAGCACCGGATGGTTCCTCACCTTTTGCTGAAAAAATTTGAGTTAAGAATAGGTCGGGGAATTTTTAAAAGATGGAAATTATTATTTATTTTTTGGCCTCAAAATCCGCGGTCCAATTTTATTATCAGATTATTTTATGAATGAATATTTTTATTTATGCGCTCAAAATCCTAGGTCCCCCATTTTGATAATAAATTAATATTTGAATGAAGATTTTAGAAGATATAAGGGGGTTAATTTTAAAGTGATCTATCCTCTGCGGAGGCCATTTATATTAAAAATTATTTTTATCTTTAGTTACCCCATTTATGAAATAAATAAATTAATTTTTGAATGAATTTTAGAAGATATAAGGGGGTTAATTTTAAAGTGATCTATCCTCTGCGGAGGCCAATTATATTAAATTTTATTTGTAAAAGGAAAATCATAAAAAAAATAAGAGAATTATTACAATGAAATAGAAAATATCGATTTTAGCAATTTATTTTATCCTCAATAACCCCAATTTTTCATAAATTAATTTTCGAATGAAGAATATTAGAAACTAAAAGGGGGTAATTTATGTGATCTAACCTCTGAGGAGGTCATTTAAGTAAATAATTTTAGAAAATAAGAAATTAGATAATAGGATTTTATTATAAGAACTCGAGGTTTAAAAAACGCTGCGGCGTTCGCGATTCTTTTTATGTTCAATTTCAATCTGATCTGATTTCCATTCTTATGCATATTGATCAAATAACAACAAACAAGTAAATGACAACAAACAGGCTCAAAGCAAATAACAACAAAAAACTTTTGATCTACACCCCACGGGGTACCAAAAATCTCAAAATGGAAATTCTTCTTTGAAATTTCAGGACTTAACAAAGGCAAGTAAAATTTTAGATAATCTAAAACAAGTGATTCTGACTCTCATTAGACATTTAATTCGAATTTAAGCAAAAATATTAGTTAAACATATTTTAAATACAAATTTTTTTATATAAATTTTAAATTTATAAAAACCCTGAGGGGTTCATTTATGTTAAAAAATAATGCTAAATAAATATGAGAGAAAATAGCCTAAAATTTTCTCCATTAATCCTTTTTTATAACCTCTTAGGAGGACCTTTACAATTAATAAAAATAAAATAAATTTGAAATATTTATCTCATTAAAGATAAAAAAAATCTCTTGTTTCATTTCCCAGTCAAAATGGTCCATAAATCGGAAATCAAACTTTTGCACTTTCCTTTTTCCCTTATTGTTACAACTTATATCACTACTTGCTCAAAGAACTGTTTTCCTTTTTTTGCTAAAAAATATTACATTATTGAGCATTGATTAATGAAAAGTAGTATTTTTCAAAATTAATTTTCTTATTGACTTATCTACATATTTAATGTTCTATTTTGCAATATTTTCAATTTATCCCCGCGGGGAAAAAATATATAATAGTTTTCCTTTATCAGTCATGATTATACTTCTAAAATTCTAAACTTCTCTTCTTAATCATTATCTTTTCTTACTTTTTACAAATATCATCTATTTAAATAGTATATACTGCAAGTTAATCCAAATATAAGTCCTAAATCTAAAGTTTAAGGCCTCTAAGATTACTGAGCCTCAGTGTATTAAAAAAAAACTGCATTAATTATACCGTGTAAAATCCTTAATTATATTAAAAATCTGGAATTTGGAATGATTGTAATTTTCCAAAATGTAGAGGTCTGAGAAGATTATTCTAATTATCCAAAACATAAAATTTTGTTTTATCGTTATTTTTTCTAGAAAAATGTGTTTTTTTAAATGTGTTTTTTTTGTGTTTTTTTTTCTTTAAATCCAATCAAGTAAAAAAAACCTTTTTTAAAAGTTCTGTTCTTTATTTTTCCGGGTTTAGTCTTCTAATGGATTTACCTAAGTTATTTTACTACGTATATTTGAAACGATTTTCTTTTCTTCTAAAACTACATATTTTTCTAGAATAGCTTCAAATAGGTATATCACAATCATGTAATACTATTCATGGTTCTTTCTTTAATTTTTTAGTTATAGTTATATTTTTTCATATATTTCACGGGCTTATTCTAATTTCTAACCTTCAGGATTTTTTTAACCTAGCTAATAGCAGTTTTTTTCCTTGTTTTTAGTCTGGGAATGTTAGGTGATATTTTTAATAGGAATGTATTCCTCATTTAAATCAAACATGGTAATTGCTCAACTATGATAATATATTCCTTTATTAAAAAAAAATTTTTTTTAATTATGTATTCTGTTTAATCTGATCAATCAGCCACCTATATCACAAAAAAAATTATAACCTCTGCGGAGGCCACAAAAAATACAAAAAAATTATTATCACTACTTTTTTAAACAATATAATCCCAGACAAATTGAAAGCAACCTTATGTATTTTCTTGGTCTAGATTTTATTGCTTTGATCTTATGGGTTCAAATTTAATTAAATCTGAAAATTTTTATACCAGGCCTAAAAATCTTATTTCGAAGCAAAAGAAATAAATTTTTTGCTACCAGAATTGTAATGGACAGGGATTCTGGTCTCCGGATATAGGCGGCATTTTGAAATTAGCTGTACCCATATCGTATCCGCTGGCTTAATATTCTTTTTTTCAAAAAATTATAACTTTTTAGCGTGTCAATCTTTTTCCTATTACCTAAATATTAATCATTTAATATATACCATTACTTTTTATATGTTTGCAAATTTATTTTCTAATCGTTCAATAAATTAGAAAGAAAAAGAACGATGTTTTTCTTACCTGCGGGTTTCTTAAAAATAACTAAAAAAAACTTTTCAAAAAAAAAACCTTTCCAGAAAGTAATAGGGATAGAATTTCAAAGATACTCGACTGCGAACCCAAAATTCCTTTTATTGGAGAAGGAGTAAATTCAGGAAAACCGATCCAACAATAAATACAAAACAAAAGTAATCCAAACTTGTAAAATCCTTTGAATAAGCGACATAAGTGGAAAAGAAAGGACACTGCCAAAAACAATAAAGATTTTTATGACCTACATATGGGTTTTACTTAATTTGCGCAGACTAAATTTTTTTATTCTCTTTCATTTCTTCTAAAAAAATTTTTTTAAAGAGAATATCTTATTTCCCTGTATTTTCTACAAAAGAAATTTTTGCGATTTATTCTCTATAAAAACTTAATTGAGAATGCTTTATGTAGTAAATAAAATTTTATTCTATTTATAACCCTTGCGAGGGCCCTCAAAAACAATAACTTAAAAACAATATTTTTCTACAAAATTTTTATACGTAGCCTCTCATGGATCCTATTGTAATTTTCCAACCTGCGGGACTCTTTAATTTATATAGAATCTAATTTCTCATTCTTAACTTTAACCTGGGACTGTTAATTATGAATAAATAAATCTTTCTCTATTCTTTTTTTTAAGGCTTCTTTAAATCAGCCTCTGATATTGGTATCTTATTTTTCAATTATATTTAGTAAAAATATATATATGGAAAATATGGCCTTTGGTGAGTCACAAAAATTGCAAAAATCATCTTCTTAACGCAAGGCTTGTGCGTTTAAATGCTATGATTTAAGAAAATAAAAGACAAAAATTTAGATCCCCAGCCATCGTTTTGGCTTTAATTTTATAATTTGTACCAGTAAATTTTATTTTTGAAAATTTTCAAAAAAAAATTTTTTTTCTGTTGAAAAATATCGTAACATAAAAAATGTCGTTTAAATATTCGATTTCGAAATCACAAAAATATTTTACTTATTGGAATAAGAGCAAAAATTTTAATAATTTTTTTAAATCTCTTCCACTGAGTTATCTTTTATTCTTATTTTTCTTTCTAATTTTTACAAGTAATGAATTTCATTATAGCTCACATAAGTTTTTAACTTTTCCTCTCAAGCAGGGCTTATTTAGACCGAAATGAATAAAATTAATTCTTGCTGGCTTAATAAATGATTATTAAATAGTAATCAAAAAAAGACAATAACCTCTGCGGAGGCCACATTTTCAAGTTAGATTAGAACCCAAAATTTTAAAGCCATTGATTTCATTTTTCGGTTTTAATTCTAACGTATTGATCATTAAGCAAAAATTTTCATTAATAAAATAGAAACCAAAAAAGATAAATTTTGAGGGAAAAATGATACATTTTCAACGAGGAAAACTATATTTCTAATAGAAAAACTATATTAATAGAAAAACTATATTTCTCACTAATAGAAAAACTATATTTTTACTAATAGAAAAACTATATTTCTCAAAACATGAACCAGTTTTACTTAATAACCTGCGGGTTCCATTTAAGTTTAAAATTCTGGGGGAAGAATTAAATTATTTTCTCTTCCGAATTTTTTTTATAATTTTTATAATTTTTCTGAGTTTTCAATCAGCACTCTTTACAAAATATTTTAAAATTCCTTTTTTTCTTTCAAATTGCCTATATCTCCTTCATTTTCCCAAAATCGAAAATACACAAAAAAAATTTTCAGGAAAAATTACAATATTCTTTTCTATAACAAAGTCCACCAAATAAATCTACTTTATTACACATTTTAAAAATTAACTAATTTTTTATTTTTCTATTATTTCAAAAATGTTTCCCACAGGAATTATGTATTACTATAAGCCACATTAATCTCAGGGATCGGAAGTCAAGTTTACAATAAAATTTTCTTCCTTCTCATTTTAATGTAAACAATTCCCAGATAGTTAATCATATTACTTTTACAAACACTCTCTAATCTCACTTATAAAATAAAAGTAGTCAATGGAAAAGCTGGGACATAAAAAAAGCTGATATCTTAGCATCTTAATCTCATCTATATCCTTCCACTCATCAATAATTTCATTATTGGGTTTTCTCAAATTCGATTTATTTTACTTTAATTATTTTTATATTATTTATTTTTATTTTTCAGGTATAAAAAATTTTTTTTAATATTAATTCCATCGACTAATTCAATGTCTTTTCTTACTTATGAGGAAAGATCCTCAAATTCTTCAAAAAACAATAATATAATCAAAACTCCTGCGGGAGCCACTCATGATTGTCACTATAGCAAATGGTTCTGTGGCCTAAGTGACAACACCTGAATTAAATAGTGCCATCATATATAACCTTTGAGAAAATGCATAAAAGGGACCAATTCAATGTAATATATGAAGTAGCAGTTACTTTCTCTCAGCTCGCGACTTGACTCACATACCTCCGGTCAAATCTCACTAACTTAATAAATACTGCTTTTGCCCAATCATCTTACACATTCTGTGATTTCCTTAAATACACTAAGGTGGGCAGGGGCAGTTTATTTAAGTAACCCGACAAACCTTGCGAGGTTCATTATCAGAATAAATTCATAATATCAGAGAAAGTTGGTACCTCATTTTTAAAGGCTTAACAATGCGTGCTATTGAGCTACTCTGAATATCAATTTCATCCAACGCGATGAAATAATAATAAACACAAATAATAAGGAACAAATCTCCACTCATAAAGCCATTTTGAATTTGATTCACATTGAGATACTTAAGTCGGAAACGATCCACTCCCCATGGAAACCAGGGACACAAAATAATAATAAAAGCTAAAATCGACAAATCTAAAAATTCATGAAAGGAAGTACTAATAAAGGTCAGAACCTCTGTACTTTTCTACGCCTTGAGGATCAGAACCTCTGTACTTTTCTACGAACACCCGAAAATATTTGGGGAAGGATCGAGATCGCTTAACGAAATAATGTCCTGCGGAACACTTATTAATGAAAACTAGAGTTATTGTAGATTCCATATTCAGAATTGATTCTGTTAAATCCTCAGTATCAAGAGAAAATCACAATAAACTGGAAATCTTTGCGGAAAATTTTATGATATATTCAGTAAGAGTCAATATAATTTAGGATCTTGCTCATCGAGTGAGCATGACAGTATTAGAAGTCTTTTTTATAATCACCAAAGATCAACCATATCTTTCCTTAATAGTTATACTCTTACAGTTTTACTTATATGTATATTTTCAAGCCTCATAATCTCGTTGAATTAAAAAAATTTTATTCTATTAATGTTACGAAAATTATTAATTTATGTTTCAAAATATAAGTCCTGCGGGACTCTCACATGTAAAAAATGAATATTAAAAAATTCAAATCCTGAGGGATTCATGTAATATGAAAATAAAATAAAAAGACGACCAGGGACGGTCCATTGGAAGGTTAGAGGTGTTGAGGATGGTCAAATCTTAACGACCAGGGACGGTCTATTGGAAGGTTAGAGGTGTAAGGCGGATATCATCCTAAAAACACGTGAAGAGCAATGTCGCTCTAGTTAACGGAAGTTTGCAGGAAGGTGCAAAGAATATTACAAACGGCCATTCCCAGAGAGTTATTAACCGCCTATTATCTTTGTTTATTATCGCCACTAACTTATCCTTGGGAAAGCGATTAGGAAGTAGAATGGTGCATATAAGCTCTAATGGAATAGGCAAAGGCAGATCACTTCTTCATTCATTCACCAGAGTTGCCGGCCGGCCAATCAATCGAGTCTATAGGGAAGAGCTCTCCCTATATTCCCCCACTGCGATTCACCTATTTCTATACTCTGCGGAGTTCACACAAGGACGCTTGCGAAACTCCTATTTAACAACCCCCATTTAGAAGGCACTGGGAAACGGGACCAACCGCTTTACTGTATATACATATCTCTCTCTCAGAAAAATTATTAAGAGTTTAATTCAAAATTAAATTTTCATTTATATTTTAAACGTAAACCTTTTTGGTTAAGACAACGTCTATTTCTGTGTTTTTTGTGGAAATTTATTATGCCAAAAATTAAATGCCCTTGAATTTATAATTCTTTTAACAGAAATTCTTTTAACAAAAAATTTTCCTTAAAAACCTTTTACTAGGGTTCCGGTTCCGGTCAAAATTTCGGTTCTGGTGAAACCCTACCTTTTACATTTTTTAAGTTAACAACCAAACTTAACAATAAGAAGTTAACTTTTTAAGTTGACTTCTTATTGTTAAGACTAATAGGGATCGCTTAACTTTGGGATTAATGACTGAAAATGATCAAAAAGAGAGGAGAAAACAATGATAAGACATATAGTCAAAACAAATTTATAAATAGAATATTTATTTATTTTGGAAGGAGTTTTAGGACAATTTAAGGATATTTAGTTATCTTACATTACATTTTTATACGGAGTTTTCTTCATTATCTAGTAAAGATACTCAAGTTAATGCTTCACGTTAGGAATATACATACTTGTTATTTTTAATTTTTAGGAAGAGATGAAAATATTATTTCATCGAAAAGTTTTTAAAATTTTTGTTCTTCAATTCTTTTTAATTTTGGTGATAGTAAATTTGGTCACGGCTAGTAGTGGTGGAACTGGTCGTGAAATTGAAGAAGTTAAAGAAGATGCTCAAGAAGAAGGAGAGTCAACAACTGATTATATAAGAGAAATGAAAGAAAAAATGAGCGTATTTGGCAAGGAACGAGGTCTAAAAAAGCTGAAATATCAAAGTAAAGCAAAAAAGTATATAGGAGAAGGATCGAGAGGTAAATCTTTAAATAATTAGGAATGGGAAAATTCGTAAATCCCTCTGTGGAACAGAGCGGAAGACGATTTATATTTAATTTTTTTCAAATTTAGTTGATCCTTTTATGAAAGATTTAAAGGAGAACACTGAAAAATTGGAATTGGTTTCAGAAAATAATCAGTTAAACGATATTCTTCAAACTATTGAAAAAATTAACGGAGTGAATTCAGAAATTAGTAAATTTTTTACATCTGCAATTAGATTTGAAATTTTCTTTGAAATTTTTAAAGCCAATTTAAAGAGTGTAAATAATCGAAAGGTAATTAAATAAAAATTATTTTAAAATGATTTTTCTGTTAATAAAATTACGGGCTGATAAAATATCCTTTGAAAATTCCAAAAAAAGATTAAGCTTTGAGAATTATAAAAAATAATTTGAATTTAATATTATTCTTCTGTTTGTCTGAATAAAACTTACCGTATTTTCTCGATTAATTCCCCTGGGGAATTAATTTTTCAACTCTTCCTTGGCATGGGGAATTAATCGAGGGAAGGAATTATTCGAATTTTGGCATTTGAACGTGAAGTAGGGTGGTGGGGGTGGGGAAACCCAACTCTAGCATGGGGAATTAATCGAGAGGGGGAACTATTCGAGGGAGAGGAATTAATCGAGAGGGGGAACTATTCGAGGGAGAGGAATTAATCGAGAAAATACAGTAATTTAAATAATTTTAAACACAAAATTTAAATAATTTTTCGATTTTGTGGGTCAATTTATAAATTTTTTGCAAAATACAAAATAGAAAATAATTTAACAACATTTTAAATTAATGTAATAAACAAAAAGTGAATATTTTGTATTTTCAGAACTTAAATGAATATATGACCAAATTAAATGAAATAAATTTCAAAGAAACACTTGAAGTTATAGAATTTTATTTTGAAATACAAAAACATATAACGGAGGATGAGTTTTCTAAAAAGTTCAAAGAAAATTGTGTTAGACTGAATGACAAATTGATAAATGTTGGCATCAATGTTGAAGAAGAAAAAGAATATAAAGAGAAAGATCCTGATGAAATTAAAAAATTAGCAAAAGATAAAATTAGAAAAGAAATTTTGCAATTTTTCGAAAATGAGAAAAAAATTAAAGAGGGAAAATTTTCAAGTAAAGTGAAGAAAGTTTTCAATGTAGGTACGAGTAAATTATTTTCTGGTAAATATAAAAAGTTAGAAGAATGAGACGAAAAAAAGTTTTAAAGAAAGAAAAAAGTGATCGAAGAGATTGATTTTTATTTAAATTTTTTTACTAGAAGTTATTTAAAAAATCCTTTTTAACTCCCCTTTCGGATATTTAAATTTGAACATTTTTTCACTAAATTCACTAAATTTTGAGTAAAACATTTTTTTCTGTGTAGTCCATTTATTTTTTAGATTTGACATTTCTTAACTGTATTTTATTTTTTTCTGTTAACTCTCCATAAGTGATCCTTGTGGTTCCGGGAGATTTTTTTATTGTTTCACATTTATTTATTTGTGGTCGATAAAGGAAAAAAACAAATAAAAACGGATAAAGTTAAGCTTTTCATAACATATGTATCTTCTCATTAAATAATAATGTGATCATTTTTGGATTAAAAACAATAGAAATAAGTTCTGAGAATTCGAAAATGCATCTAAAAAGTTGATCCCAATAATAATCAACAAGATTGAGCTCTTCTATTGTCTCCGAAAAGTTCTTTATTGCTATATAATAAGATTCCTCTAAAAAATTGTTAGTAGTTTACTATGTCTATATTTTTATTTTTTTTTAAATGGGCTTCAACAGGGTTAAGGAAAACCTGAATAGCTCGTAAGCGGGCACGGAAGTTTATCCGGAAATTAAGATAGTCAATTTCAAAAATTTATTCCGAACTTTCGAAAATTCCAAACTTTCGAGATTAATAATATTTTATATATTTATTATTAAATCATAATTTTTATATTATTTCGAATAATTCCAATGATCATTAAAAAGTTTACCTTCACTATAGTTTAATTCTTTAATGACATTTTCTTCGTTAGAACTAATTTTAGAACAACAAAAAGCAGGAATTGATTTTTCAATGATTTCTATCCACTATAAAAAGAAAATTAAAATTAGGGTTGTTCTCGACCGGTGGTACTTTTCTGTTTTGTGACCGCACTTTAAAAATGTTTAAAAAGGGTCATGAATATGGACAAATTATATGTCATTCGAAAGAGCTCCTCGAGTTGAGTCAAATGACACCAAAATCTTGTGGGATTCGAAATGGTACGGGCTCAAGATGGTCAAAAGATACAAGGATAAAAATGGTCAAAAATACTGATTATACCAAAATGTATGTCATTTGAAAGAGCTCGCTGAGATGAGTCGAGACACCAAAATCACCGGGATTGAACAAGATTGCACAAAGCTATGATCGTTTGTTTTAGCTCCTCACCTATGCCATTTGTGGCGGTTTTGCCATTGCGGAGGCTTTTGAAGCTTTTTATTTTGGCTCATAATCAATATCTCGAGCTGATTTTAGTGTCATTCGACTCAGTTCGAGGAGCTCTCTCGAATGACATATAATTTGTCCATATTCATGACCCTTTTTAAACATTTTTAAAGTGCGGTCACAAAACAGAAAAGTACCCGACCGGTTATTAAGGGCATTTTTGATTTTCAGTTAAAAATATTTTTGACCGTTTTCCGTTTTAATTTTTAGTAAAATTTAATTTATTTTTAAGGGAGAGGATTTTTTAAATCATTTTCTGAAACTATGGTTTAGTTAAAAAGATTCTCATAGGAATCAGCAAATTTTCGACAATTTAATATCTGGTAGTAAATCTAATAGATTAATATGTATATTAAACACATTTTAATAATCCTAGTCAAATTTTAAACATAATCATACGTTCTTTCTTTGTTGATCAGTTATTTCAAAGCTTAAATATTTAGGTTTAATACATTTATATTCCATTAACTCATCATTACTGACGGAAATCTAATAATGTAAAAATAATTATTAGTTTTATAACTAAAATGTACGAGGCTCAGTTCTTTGAATACCATCTGAGGAAGCACTTTTTCAAATCTGTTGATCAGGCAAAGAAAGATGCTGTTTGTTAATTTTAGTGAAGTTATTTGATTAAAGTTAAGAAATTTAAGAACATCTAAAGTTGTTTCTAGTGGCAAATTCATTCACCCAAATTAGTTAGACAAGTTGTTTTCTAAAATACTTAAAATTGAAAAAAAGTTAATAATTAGAATTTAATAAAATATTTTTGAAACAAAAATAATTTCAATTTAAATAAAATGAATTATTATTTTTAAAATATCAAGTTTATGATAAAAAATACTTTCAACTTTTTAAATGCATAAATTAAGAATGAAGAAGTTTTACAAAATAAAAAATAATTAATCAAAAGTCAATAGAAAATGAACATAAAACAAATCCTGTTTCTGGCAAAGTTTAAAAAAATGTGAAAAAGGGATCTCGTCTCCAACAATCTCGTCTCCATCAAAAGCTATCTAGATGAACAGCTTCGTTAATCGAAACAATTTTGAAGCATGTTTCAACGTTCTTGGATTATACACGGGAAGCGAAGATGCCATAACAGTACATGTAGAACTCCTATTAAAGTTGTTGCAGAAAGGGTACCAAAAGCAGAAAAGGATAATTCTACCGAAAATAAATATTATAGAAAATGCATCTAATAAATTTCTACCTTGTTTCTAATATATTCTTTTTATAAATGTTAAATCACGAATGTTCTCAGACGAAAATCTCACTTGCGGATTGTAAATATTGGCAACTTCATAACTATTAGTAACTTCAAAGACACCGAATTTTGTAATTTCAAATTTTTTACTTTTCTCCCCCAATTTAAAATTTGGAAGATGCTCTAGATCAATGAAATCCACCACTTTTGAACAGTCTATCGATGTTGTTACATACTAAAATTTAAAATTTATTCCATGTCTTGTTAATACCTAACTTACTTTAATAATAAGATCATGAAGCTTCATCAACTTAGAACCCTCTAATCTTATCTGAGATAATTTTTTGCCTTCATTTACTAGAATATTAAATAAAATATCTATATGTTGCTCTGAAATGTTGACTTCATTTAAACTTATTTTAATAAATGAAGAAATTGGTAAATGATTTAAAACAAATTTGAAAACATCCTCAAATATATTATCTCCAGAAATTATATAAGGCGTTTGAAGGTGAAATTGTGTTGGAATTGTTTCGTCATTATCAAATAGTAAATCAATCATTTCCGGATTAAAAACAACGTAATTAAAATGAGCATAATCAAAAGAACAATTAAAAAGTTGTTCTAACCAACACCGAATAACAATCATTTCTTCAATATTTTTCGGAAAATTTGGCAAATTTAAAAGATGATAACGAGGATTTATATTGCCCACACCAAACCACAGTGTTTTCTGCAAACAAACAATAAATTTTTTGTTTGATTCGAAATTATGTAAAAACAAAGGGATTGATTTATCTATTGCTGCTTGCCACTAAAAAAGATAAATGTATAACGTATATCCTTTAATAACTACCCTGGGTAATTATTTTTTCGACCTTCCGCTGGAGGGAGTAATTGATCGAGGGAGGGTAATTATACGAGGTTTAAAATTTGAACGTGTTTTAGTGCATTTGTTGGGAGAGGGGAGGGGGGAGGGTAATTAATGTTTCAGTCCATCGGTGGATGGGGTAATTAATGAAGTGGGATAGATATTCGAGAGAGGGCAATTAATACAGGTTATACGGTATTTTAATTAATTATTAATTTAACACCTTCTTCAAAATATTATCATTCAAAGAAATATCAAAAATTCCGGATTCAATTTCAATAATTTCATATGAATGTAATTCTCGATCTTCTTCAATCTAAGATATAAATTAAAAGTAAATGTAGCTAAATTAGGTATTTACTATCGAGAAATAACTAAATTTCATTAGTGCCAATTCCTCCTTGTATTTAGTAATTAAATTGAGAAAATAAAAATTCGTTTGTTTAAAAGAGAATAGTTGATTAAAATCAAGACATTTTAAAACATCAAGTTTTGCTTCGATTGGTAAAGAATTCATTCTAAAATCAGTAACTAAAAAAGAAACGATAGGAAAAAATCTAAATTTTTAAAAATGAGAGAAAACTAAATTATGGGTAATTTTGGAATAAATGCTGTTATTTTTATAAGAATCAACATTTTTATGGAGGCTAAAAATTCTAATAAGTATGTGAAAAGAAGATTTAGGGAAAAATAATTTTTAAATTCAAATTTTGGGAATGACATTCAAACAAAGAATAAAATGATGGAAATGGGAAAATGATTTTAGGGAACATTACACATTAAAAAGGCATTTTTAAAATAATAATAATTTAAATTTGGATTTGAATGTAAATAAGGATAGTCGTAGACAAAAATAAGTGAAAGAAAGGATTTCACAATAATTATTTAGGATTCCACAAAATGAAGTACTATGTAGAGTTTAGAATTTAAACTTATTTATTTTTGGAATGAATAACAAAATTCGACTTTTCCTCGCGTTTTGATTCGAACCCACCCTCATGACAAAAGTTTATCGGGTAGTCTTTTTTTTGCAGACACATTATTAATAAATGACAGAATGGCTAAAAATTCTAATAAGTATGTGAAAAGAAGAAAGAATTTAATAAAGAAAAGTTTAATTTTTTGCAATGTCCGCGTTCCATTAAATGCACGCATTGGCGTAAATCAGGGCTCTCATCGACAAAATACCAATCAAGAGTACAAAAATCTCGATTTTAAAGTACATAGGGACAAAATTTCCAAATTTAAAGGACACTCAAAATTAAATTACAAAATATTTATTCGTCCTTAAATCTTTTATATTTCTCTGCTAAATGAATTTTTCTAATAATCTCTTTTTTCCAGAGCATTTTGTGCATATCATACACGCCATGTCAAAATTCGCTGTCACAAGAAGTAAAGCCCTGACAGTCTTAACCTCAAGCAAGCTACTTTCTTACGTCCATTTTCAACGCCGCAGGCGAAAATTTTGGGAAATTTCGGGGTTCTTAAGACAGATTTTTTCCATTTTTAGCGCCGCAGTCGAAAATTTTTTAAATTTGGCACCCAAGAAGCCAAATTTCTTCCTTTTTCAGCGCCGCAGGCGAAAATTTTGAGAATTTCTAAGGCCGTAGGCCAAAAAAATTCACTTTTTTGCCCAATCCTTCCCTAATTTCATTTTCAATCCAAAATGTTGATTTTAAAGTACATACTTTCAATAAAGTACAAATTCAATTTTGTAAGTACGGAGGTCGATTTTAAAGTACTGTACTTTCAAATAAAGTACGAATGAGAGCCCTGGCGTAAATAAAAAAGAGCACTCCAAAATTTAAATCTATTTTAGAAGATAAGTATCCAAATGAGATGTTTAAGGCTATTAAAAAAATTAATGAATTGAATCCAAAAATTTGTGTTTTTTATTTAATTTTACATTAAAAATAATTGCAGCTTTGAAAATTTAACCTAAAAATTTAAATAAGTTAAATGACAAAAAATTTAATTTAAAAGGAAGTTTACAAAATTTTTAAATGTTATGCATATGACAAATTCTAAAAATTTTCTTCTCGTTTAGCATTTTTTACATAAATTTATTTACTTAATTTTATTAGACCATTCTCTACTAAATAATATTATTAATTATTTAAATTTATTAAAAAAATTTTTTATTAAAAATCGATTTTAAACAAGTTAAAAAAATTTTTTTGAATTTTAATTAAACAGGAGATAAACACTTTTAGTTAATCAAGCTTTTATTTGGGCCTTTTTGTTTGTTTTATAAATCAGAAGGATTTTTTAAACAAAAAAATTAAAAAGTGTTGATTTTCTGTTTTAAATTTTCAATTAATTTGTGAGGTTAAAGAAAGGGGAAATTTAAATATTTTTTAAAATTATTTTTTTCTGTCACAAATTCCCAACAGATATAAATTCCCTTAATTGATGATGCCGAAGAAATTCAGCCCAGTCAACTTCTTCTACAAGTAAATTAGAAATACTAGAAGAATTTTCACATTTCCTGTCAATTTGTTGGTGACAGTTTTTGTGACAAATTATACGGCAATCTGAAAATTTTTTGAATAAAAATTATTTTGGAAATTAAAGTCTCCTTTTTTATTTGAAATCTAAAAAAATTCCCATTGGCTGTCATTATAATATGCTTTTACCTTAAAATATCTAGTCTAGAATTTTAGTTAAGTTTCATTTTTATAATTTCAATGTAGGTATTAGGGATGCGTCGGGTTACTCGAAAGCCGATCCGAAGAAAATTTTGGAAGCCCGACCTGAAGTCTTACTTGACTTTTTCTCAACCAGAACCTTCCCTAATAGGTAGCAGATATGTATGAAAAATCTTTTCTCTATTTTTGTTAAATTACCTCTGCATTGATATGCTTGTCTTGTAGAAAAGTTCCCACCAATCCTTTTATTACAAACAGAACAAACAACTCTGCTAAAATATTTAAAATAAAATCTAAAAACAACAATTTTTTCTTTAAAATTTACCCGCGTGATTTTGACGCAACTAAAATATGTGAATTTAAAATATGTAATTTTTTGCCACTCTGCATTAATTTAACAACCGCTGGTTCATTAGATATTTCTGCTGGGATAGAGTAATATCTAAAAATATACTTATGTAAATTTAATTTATACAGACGGACCCCTCACTATAAAATAAATCCAATGCTAGCTATACTACTATTTAAGCTATTATTTAATTTAGTGAGACACTGGGTGTATAAACGATGCTTTCGATTTAAGTACAATTTTAAAAGAGTACATACGTACAATCTCTAGAAATAGGAGCATATCTTATAAGAAGGTCTGAGACTGTATTAAATAATATCCCTTCTAAATATCTAAAAGAAGTTCCAAAATAAATAATTACTTAGGTCCTTCCTCCTCTGGGCCAATTAATTCTAGAACGAGTTGGCTTTGTGAATGGCTTCGACTCATCACGTTATGTTGCCGAGAAGAGGAAGAGATTAAATTTGCTGTTGAAGTTGCCATACTTGAAGGGCCTTTAAAAAATATTTTTCATTTGTTTTTCAAAATTCACCAGCAGATTGAATTAATCTTTGTTGTCGAATATGTTCTTCGTGAAGGCCCCCACTACTTGCCTTTCTTTGTTGGGATTGGTCACGTGATTGGGGCATTGAAACAGCAGCTTCTTCTAAATGTTGTTCGTAGTCGTCGAGAGATTTAGCTCTTTGACTTTGTCTTCCAGGAAATAGTCTAAGGGGGCCTAAAAATATTTTTGAAATTTTAGAAAACTCTAACAGGATAAAGGACTGTCAATCGCTACCTGAAAGACGAGAACGAATTTGCTCAAAAAAATTTCTTCGCTCCTTCCTTCCTCTTGCTTGTCGTTCCCTATCTATTAAAAATTTTCCTAAAATTTTATTTCATTTTTTCCAAACCCTTGGCTCTTCTCCTCAATTCATCCGCATCCTCTGTTACACTTGTTTCTTTCTCCGCAGGTAATCGGAAAATTTCCATGGCGGGGTGTGTTGCTGCAGTTGCAGCTGCATTTGGGGCACGCATTCCATTAAACAAATGATCATAAGCATCGTTAGCATTTTGGGGATCATTTACTTCTTTGGATGGTTTTCGTTTTTGATTATCAGAAATATTTGGATGTTGTGGTGGAAATTGATTGTTAACTATTAAAATTATTTTGAGGTTATTGAAATTGAGGAATGAAATTGAGGAATTTGAGAAAAAATTGAGGCTATTGAGAAAATAACAAATTGATAGTTAATGACGAAATGAGATGGATTTGGGGAGATAATTGGAAAAAAAGAATAAAGATGAGAGGAAATGGAAAAAAGTAGGAGCACTTTGTTTAGGAGCACAAAACAGGAGCACTTTGTTTCTATTATTTCAACCAAAAGTATTTGGCTGAAATAGAAACAAGATCATTTCTCATGTCTGAATTTTTCTTCCTACAAGATATGCTTATGAATTGGAACACAACATTTTCTGCCCAATACCAATTAAAAGCTTGAATAATCACTTCTATTTTGACTTGGGGATCTGCATCTAATATTCTATCTAATGTTGTCACTCTAAAATATGCTCTAAGAATTTACACTAGCGGAAAGAAGAAACTGTAAATCTCAGGTATCGTGTCAGCCAATATTAACTACCTCAAAATATTTTTTAATCAAAAATTACCTCCATTTTGTATTTCCTCATGTTGCTGTTTTAATATTTCCTCTTTTTCTTCTTCCCTTTGGGTTGTTTGAGGTGTTCCAGGAGCACTCTGTTTTCTATTATTTGTTCCATTTTGTTCATATTTAAATAATAAAGCATTGCTGTCACTTATAGTTTTTCTAATTTGTAAATTATAAATATTTTGAGGGGGTTGTTTTTGTTCCTCTTCAATTAATTGCCTTTCCGGACTACTCCAAGCATTGGCTGTATCAAATGATTGTTTTGGCATTAAACTTTCTTCATCACTTGTTGCCGTTGTTGCTCTCATATTGTAATGCTTAAAAAGAGAAATAGATAATTTGTTGATTAATTCTTCGGTTCTGAAAAGAATTAATTGCAACGTCTAGGATTGTTGGTTCCTGGAAATTCTTCGGATATCCGAAACCGGACCGAAGAACCGAACCGAAAAATCCTCGATTCCTCGGTTCGGTCCAGAACCGACAACCCTATCCCTGACAAAATTATTACGTCCCCGAAATTACTCGAAAAATACTAGTAACTGTTTATTCTCTCTTTGAAAACACGAGTCCAGTTCTTAAAAACGAATTACATAGTTCCTAATTAGAATTATAATATTCCCAGATTCTCCACCAAAAATACACCCCCCTTCCCAACATGACACATTCATTTTCATAGATATAAACTTTCATAAACCTCTTGGGGGACCTTAATTTTATAAAATTTAATTAAGCTTAGTATAATTCAAAAATAAAAAAATATTTATTTACAATTTGTTTTTCATTATCTAATTGTTGTTGTAATTGTTTTGCTTTTTCTATATTATCACCATTATTATTTAAATTATTATTTAATCTATCTTCAGTAACATTATAAATATAATGTTGTTGTACAGGTTTGGGGGTTCTCCTTTTTAAACTTCCCAATGATGGAATTGAACTTTTTTTACTCGGACTTCTTGTTGGGCTTTTTTTGTATTGAGGTATATTATTAAATTGTTGCTGTTGTTGATTTATTATATTATTGGTATTATTAAATTGTTCTTTTGGTATTGTTATTGGATTATTTAATTGTAATAAAGGTAATGAACGTTGATGAAATGAACACTAAAACAATAAATAATTTTATTGGTCTTCAATTATCCAAATCAAATATATTTAATAAAAATAATTTCAGGTCAAGAATAATAAATTCTGAATTGGGAATTTTAAGGCTAACATCCTTAAATAAATAAGGGGGGAGCAGTGAATCTATTCAGAGTTTTCTGGTGGATAAACATTTGGAAAGTGAATTTTAAATTAATTTAAAAATTACCTGAAATAAAAGAAGTCCACGTTTTTGATCAACACTTTTAATATTTTTTCCTTCTTTTTGTTCAGATCCCTTTCCCTGTAAAGGTAAATGTACTGGAGAACTAAGTGGTTGTCTAGCTATTATTCGACGAAGTTCAGAAATTTTTAAGATTGCCATTCCAAGGAAACGCCTCAAAAACTGATTATTAAATTAATAATTTAACTATAATAATTCAAAGATTACACAAAAAATAATAATTTATTAAAAAATATTTTGCTAATTATTCGGGCTTTTTCTCCTAATTTCACTGAACTGGTTTTGTTTTAGAGAAGATAAAAGGATTATTTTATATATTCATTTTATTTTATTTCGTACAGCGGCTCAGTGGTCTAGTGGTATGATTCTTGCTTAGGGTGCAAGAGGTCCCGGTTTCGATCACCGGCTGAGCCCATTCTTTTTAAAATTGCTTCTCTGCGTTTGTAAAAATTAAAAAATAAAAATACTTTTAAAAAAATATTTTTAAAAATATTTTCTAATTTTTTTGTATTTTTTTAAATTAAAAAAGGACCTTTGCCTAACAGTTCCATAAATAGCTGTTGGAGGTAAATCTAATTCTTTTTCATTTGGGAATGAAGGTGTTTCAGTAAATAATTCAAATAGCAATTCCCCTCCAGTTGGAGCTATTGCCAATTCGAAATTTGCTTCTCCATCATGCCAAAACCAATAATTACCGCTGTGTGCATCCAAATGCCCTTTTGGACTTAGAAAACGTTCTGAAGATGGTTCGTCTAATTCAATACAAACAAATGGGCGTTCGTTTGAAGAATCGAGTAATCCATCTAATATTAGGGAAATTAATTATTTTTGTAGAAAAGAATGGAACGGAGACGAGTAATTCTTGTGAAAAAGTTTAGCGCCCAATAAAATCTTGCGCCGAATCGTCAATTTCGTTTTCCCCTATAAAACCTATACCTTTAGGATGCAAGTTTTACGCCTTAAAATTACAAGGGAAATCTAGTGGGTAATTCGGCGCAGCCGATTTGGCGTCAGGCATTTTCCAAGCTTATAACTTTTTTCTCTGGGAACTATTTTTAACAATTATTATAAAAATTTAAAGTACAGAATAATATACAGGATTTCAACTATCAGATTATGTTATTTAACATAAGGGGAAGGACGAATAAATAGGATTAATGGTGATTTCCAAACTTAGCATCACGTAAATACATTATAGCTAGTCCATTTAATTATAGCTAGTCCATTAAGAAATTTTTATTTATAATCCATTAACAAAATTAGCTCTTGAATAATCTTATAATCTATTATAGAGTTTGTTAAATTCAAGTATTATAGAGCAAGTAAAAGCTCTGACGCCAAATTGGCGGCGCCGAAATATTGCTTAAATCCTAAAGGTTTAGGCTTCAAAAGGTTTAGGCTATTTCTTGACATTTTGGCGCCGCCTACTCTGGCGCAGCCATTTTCTTGCTTTTTTTCTTAATTTTTCTTCACGAATCTTTTCGAAAAAGCTTTCTGGATATTTGTTTGATGTTTGTTTCTTCAACATAGATTTTCTATGTAATTTAAATATTACCTTGTAATTCACGTAATTCCATCAAATGAATATGTAAAAAATGGGTTTCTCTCAATTGTTCGGATGAAGCTATTTCTCCCTCCGCCAAAGGAAATCTTTGTGGCTAAAAATAAATTTTGTTTTTTTAAAAATATCTTTTTTTGAAATTTGCCTGTAAGGAGTGAATATTTTCTTCTTTCTGCCCAGATGGATAAACTTCTTGTAGAAAACTCAAATTTCGATACTCAGCACTAAGCCGAGCTCGGGAAGCCTAAAAGAATATTAAAATCAGAGGAAGATTTTTCTTTTGTTTAAGCTTTGTGATCAAGGCAACAATCACGAAATTAACTCAGAAACAAATTTCTACTTCAGAAACAAACATCTCTTTTACACATAGGGCCTAAAAACCCTTTGCACACATACACACTCAATAATCAAAAGATAAAAACAGTCTCAAATCAAGATTCTATAAGAGACCTTGGCGTTTATTTTTCACACGATTTAAAATGGGAAAAGCACATCAAAATTATAACTAACAAAGCAAATCAAACAGCATTTACAATAATAAGAAATCTAAAAACTAATGATCCTAAAATATTACTCGAACTATATAAAATAACGTATTACCCATAATAGAATTTGCATCGCCCGTTTTCAATCCATATCTTAAAAAGGATATCGAACACCTTGAACAAATACAAAAAACTTATTTACGTATTATATACAATAGGTCAAACCCACGCACACCAATCCCAGAATATCAAGACCTTCTACAAATTTTTAAAGTAGACTCGCTACAAATTAGAAGATTCAAAACTGACTTTAAATTTTTCCACAAAATTTTACATGGTGAAGTAAAAATCGATCAAAAAGAAACATTTAAAATTACAAAAACTAATACAAGGGGAGACGAATATAAATTTTTTATTCCGGCAAGATCAAATCAAATCAGCCATAATTCCTTTTTTGTTAGGACAGCGCGGCTATACTCTCAGTTACCAATATCAATACGTAAATCAAATTCCAAAATATTCAAAACACTTCTTGATCAAATAGATCTCAACACATATTTATCACGCCCCACACCCGTAACATAATACAATCACATATATTTGTTGTTTCAATTATTGACATATATTTGTTTTAGTTTAATTTTCAACTTGTTTTAACTTATTTTTTCAATCCATATATGTATTTTCAAATTTGTAATGTCGCCCAAGTGGCAAATAAATAAATAAATAAATAAATACTTTCCTTTAGGTGATCTTTACTTTAATAAATGAGAGAGGGTGGTAATTTTTATTTTTAAAATTTAGACAAAATTTTTAATTTTTTTATTTTCTCCAGCAATTATTTAAAATATGTTAGCTCCTCGAGCCTTAGAGGTCGGATCTTCGGGGATCGGGGTTTGCCGCAGGTTTAGACTTAAGAGTTCAGGTCGGGCGTTTTGTCAAAAAAAATGTCAGTGTACGAGGGACGGGGAGCTACCCCAATTTAAGCACAAACCCTAGCAGTAGATTCTTCATCAGGATATAACAATTCCCCCAAACTAAAATTTAAAACGGCCCCAAGAATACATTTCCTCGCAAATTCAATAACAAAATTCTCCATTGCTTTTTCTGCTGTAGGTTCTAAAATTTTTAATTTAACATCTGGACGGCCACTAAAACAGGCAATAATAAATAATTCTCCAGCTATTTGGGCTAAACGAACTTCTGCCTTTAAAATAAAATTATTAAAATAATTTTGAGTAAGTAACATTATTCCTGTAACACCTTTCCTAAACTGAAGGTTTACCCGAATTTACCCGAACTCTATTCTGATAAATTTAAACAATGGCTATAATACAAAGAACCTAACTATAAATAATTTTTAGAGCGAGAGTTCTTTGCAAATTTTTTCAAGCACGGAATCTTAATACGAATTTTTTAGGGAACATTATTAAGGGCTCTTATGTTTTCTAGGCAAGATCATAGATAATAGTCAGCTATTTTTAGATTAAATTTTTATAAAATAATTAATTAATTCTAACCTCTCCATTCATTTCGTCAATAATAATTCTATAATTCCTTGGATGTTCAATTGTTAATGTTTTTTTCATTTCCTCCTCTTTATTTAAATTATCTATTTGCTGTTCATAAATTGTAACCAAAAGATTTATTTTAGGTTGATTTTCATTTAATAAAGTTGTTTTATTTTCGATATAAACTTTTCCACTTATTGACTTTAAATTGTTTTTAAATTAAAAATTGGTTTAAATTAGTGTAGTTTCAGCAAAAAATGACAGGACCCCCAACGTTTTTGTTAAAATTTTCCCATTTTAAAATTTTTCCCATCCTTCACTTATTGTTTAACGGACCATCTACATACTTTCCAACAAACTTGTCAATATAGCCATAGTTAAATAAACTTTAAAATCTCTTTAAAAAACAAACCAAATGATTGCCGGGAGAACGATTAGGCCTAACATGAAAATCTCTAAGTGTTGAATTAGCCGAACTTTGTTGAAGCTTTACTCCATCAAAATGCATCTCTGGTTGCCCCTTTTTAATTTTTTAAAATTAATTTCAAACTTTAAAATCTACTTGTTCTTGTAATCTTTTTGAAGATTCATTTAAACTTTTTGTTAATAAATTAGCAAATTGTTCATTAATTGTTGCCCCTTTTTCTCCTGTACCCCAAACTAGCCAATTTGCTACATCGTGCATTAAAATACTGAAAATAATTAAAATATTTTTTTATTCTCTCAGAAATTTGAAAGACAATAAAAACGAAAATTAGTCTCAAAAATAAAATTATGCCCAAAATTTTCGTTTTAATTCGAAAGAGGATTTTGCACATTTTTACTTTCTATCCACAATTTTGTATTTTGAAATGAAAATTAAAATAATAATAATTATCCCTCCAAAAATATTTTTAATTAACGGAAATTAGTGTTTCTCACTAAATATTTTCTACCTTTCATTTCCCTCATTCTGATGTCCTCTATTGTTATTATTAATTGTTGTAGTAATACTTTGCCTTCTTCGATTATAACGAAGAATAAAAAAATAACAAATTAAAGAGACAACAAACCAAGATAAAAGTATTAATAATAAACCATCCATTTTTCCTTAAAAATATTTATTTTTAGGAAAGTAAATATGTAAAATAAATTTTTTGTCAAAATATTACAAAGAAATATTGAGGAATTAGTATGAACTTTCTAATATTGATATAATTCGAATCAGTTAGAAGGGCCAACTTCGTCTTAAAACAAAGTTGGCATTATTTAGCAAGGGCGTGTCAATTACTATCTAGCAATTAATGAACAACATGTCCTTTGTTTTTTAAATCAGTTTTGGTCTATATTACGGATATTTGAGAGGGAGGATGTGAGTAATATAGGGTTATAAATTTAAAAATTGGTTGGATCACCAAATTAGAAAAAATATTTAAAAATTGATTTTTGATATATTAATTGAATAATAATGAAAAACATTTAAAACAAAAAAGGTGTTAATTTGTGTGTCTGGTGGTTTTTATTAATTTTATTTGTTGCCCAGCACTTAAATTGCCACCGCAAATGTTTTTATTTTCTTGCAAGTGTTAATTTCTTTTTTTTATTTTTTGCTGTTTTTGTGTAGAAATTTAAGTGAAGGAATTGAGGAAAGGAAGGTATTTTTGTTTTATCTATTATTTAGATCATTTTTGTTGATTGCCATCTGTCTCTTTCCTTTATTTTTACCTTTTTAAGTGCCGTCCATTAAATACACACAAAAAGTCTCAAGAATTTATTTTTTTAGCAAAACGACCAAAACAATGCACACGCTAAAGAAAATTAAACAACTGTCTTTTTAAAAAGAGAAAAATAAGTAGAGGATATCTGCTGATTTTTATATTTATTATATTATTGCCACATTGAATTTTTAAATAAAAAAAGGAGGGAAAAGAGAAACAAAATAATGAGTATAGGTATTTAATAATTAAATAGTAAATCGAATATTAGTACAGCAATTGCACGTTAAGGATCGGCTTTTCACATCAAGTATAGATTCAGAATTTGACTAAAAACTTGACAAAATTTTGCTTGGAACGGAAGAATCCCTGGGGGGTTGTTGCAGACTGGTGAAAGTGTATATTTGAAAGTTGATATATTTAATATTAGATTTAAATTTAACAATTTAATTACCACCTTACTATGTACCAGGGCTGTCCGCAATTGTAAAAAATTTTCCAGCTGCAATCCGCAATTTTAATTTTAAAATTCGCGACACGCAATCTACAAGTCAAAAAAACAATTTCATGCAATCCTCAATTGCGGACAACCCTACTTTTATAATTAAAACAAAATTAATTTAAATAATTTATTCTTAACACTTTTTAAATTATAAAGAATCAAAAATATTGGAGAATTTTTAAAAATAAATCTAGCCAATATTTAAATATTTAATCTTTAATTTTATTGTTCTTCGCCTTCAGTAATTGTTACTTCTTCAGAATTTTTCCATGGCTGCTGCCAAATTTTAATTGTATAAATCTTTAAAAAAGGAATATGTTTTTAGATAAATTAGAGAGATTGTATTTTAAATATGAAAATCTTTTAACGACTTTTGAATTTAAAAATTAATGGGTCGGAAATAAACTTGAGATTTTGATCAATTTTTATGAATCTAAAATGTAGGTAAATGAAGTAAAACGGAAATTAAATTCATGAAATGGAAAAATTCATTGGATTGATGAAGTGGAATAAACTTGTTAAGGAAAGTAGATAATAAGAGTACAACTGATCTATTACGGTGATCGGCTACTTTCAATCTTCAAACACAGACACAATAAAACCGAGAAAATTGCCCTTTTTCCATCTTATTTTTCCCGACTTTTTTGTTTTAGTGTATTACAATATTAGTACATCAAGGACCTGATATTATTGATCGGATAGCCTAATAACCGAATAAAAAATGTTTATTCTTAATAATAACATTTTTATATTTATTTATCTTCTTGCCTGTGTTTTGTCCAAATCTCCAGTATATTTATTGCATTCAGACAAATTATCAGAATTTACTTGCTTTAAATTTGAAATTATTTTTTCAGAAGAAATTAATTTTTAAATTTTTACAGTTTTAAGACAGTCAGTTTTTCCAACACGTAAAGTAAGAATATATAAAAGACCAGAAACTACTTGACTTTCTGCTTTTACAATTTTTGCCAATCCAAAATGATGGGCAGAATTGGATTGTTGATTTATTTTTGTTAGGCCTTTGGTAGCCAATTGCTGTAAATTAAATGGGAATCTGATAGTTAGGTATATTTGTAAATGAAAATTTTAAAGAACATGAGGACTGGGGTAAAAACTAACCAAAAAACTATTTTGGCCAATAAATTCTCCCTAAAATGTCCCACACCAACATGACGGATAGGGGGGGGGTTTATCATAAAAATTCGTACAAAACCCATAAAATAAGGGAAAACCGATTGGACTAAAAAGAGAATGCCAGTTTACGCATGCGGCAATGGAAATTGACGAAATCTGGACGAAAATTCCCATTACTTATAAAACATTTGAATTAAAATATTTAAACACCTTAATATCATCCTTGTTAACGTCTTGTGGCACTCTACCACCGGCCATTCCAACATTGCCTCCATCACCTCCGGAACTATCCCCTTTAGTCATTGCTAGTAAAATAAATAAATTACCGTATATCCTTTAATAACTACCCTGGGTAATTATTGTTTCGACCTTCCCCTGGAGGGAGTAATTAATAGAAGGAGGGTAATTATATGAGGTTTTAGATTTGAACGTGTTTTAGGGCATTTGTTGGGGGGTAATTATTGTTTCAACCTCTCGCTAGACGGAGTAACTAATAGAGGTGGGGTAATTATTTGAGGGAGGGCAATTAATACAGGTTATACGGTAAATGAAATATTTAAAAAATAAAAAAGTCACGAGAGCAAATAAAGAGTAAAATGGACAGTAATTGTAAATAATAATGAAGCATATCAATAATTTTCCTTCAAAACGAGAAATATTAAATACTTGGGAAATGAGTAATAAATGCTAGCAGTGCTTTTTACTTAAATAAACAATCTAAAAAATTATTTATTTAATATTTTTTGTTTATTTAACGGAGAAAAAAATGTGAAAAAATTATTTTTTAAATTATTTTGTGTTGGTTGGTATTGGACAGATGGAAATTAAAGTAATAGTAAAAATGTTTTGATGAAATGCTCAAAAATATTAGATTAGTGTAATTTAAGTTTCCTTGGGTTAATTAAGTTAACAGAAAATAAATTTAATAAAATGAATGTTTTAATTGTGTTTTAAAGTTGGTGGCCCGACCTAAAATTCCTCTGACGTGCCAAAAAAGTATCAGATTTTGAATAACCCTAATAACTTAGCAAAAACAAATATTTATTTATTTATCAGCAAACACAGGTATTTTAAAATACATTAAAGTGGTGCAAAAAAAATGAAAAAAAAGTAAAATCAAAATAACAAAAAAATTCAGTACTATTTTTCAACACTTTTCCAACTAGGAGTATTATTAAAGGGGGAGTCAAGGGTGAATAATATTACAGGAAATACGATATATTAAATATCTTTAAATCATTTTATTCGGAGAAGCGTATTTAAGGAATAATAGAACTTGGAAGGTACGGAAAGTGAATTTGTTAAATTTAAAAACTAAAATCAAAGTAAAATAATTTACTTAAAAATTAAAGAGAAAAAGAGCAAAATTCAATAAATAAAATTTTAAAGAAAATAAAATTTTTATTTTATAAATACCTAAACTAATCGTTTAGTCAGTTCCACCTGTTAAATATAAAAATACTTGAATATAAAATGACATTTCCTGTTTACAACAAAAATGTGTACAAAGAATATATAAAAAATATTTTTTACTGAAAAATAAAAATAATTTAGGTATATTTGGACGCTAAGGAATAAATTAAAAAAAAATTTTTCTGAATTTTAAAAAACGTCTGGATTTTATGAATATAATTAAATAAATGTGTCTAGACAGAAAATAGAAGATGAGTTGGGGATGGGTAAAACTTGTTTTGATTTTTTGATAGAAAATAAAAATAATTTTTTAATTGTACTTAATTAAACTAAAATTTAAAAAAAATATTTGAAATAAAAAATATATATTAGGTGGAGTCATAATTAGTGGCCGTTTTTAATTTGGATTTTTAAAACTAATTTTTTAAAAATATTTTTTATTACGAATCATTTGTCAGTGTATTTTCTAAAGGATCCCAGCATTTGAGAGTAAACACAAAAATAATGAAGAAATTAAAAGGTGAACAAAAAAAATAAAAGTTTTTAGACTAAAAGCCAAGTTTGTTAAAAGTCATATGAGAACAATTGAAATTATTTTTAATATAATTATCTACTTAATAACAGTGCCCCCTTTAACTCCCAATGACTCATCCAAAGTATATCTAGCAGAAATAACTAAAAATAAATAGTTATTTATTACTTTGTAAGAGCAATAAAGTAACAATTTTTTGGTTATTTTTGGTGAACACATTTTCTATTTTTAGATTTCCTTATTCTCAAAACAACAATTTTGTGTATTGATAGAAAAATTGGATTAAAAGAGGGTATGACCAGATTATCTCCTTATAGAAATTAAAATGTTGGGAGATACATATATATATATATATATATATATAAATAAAAATAATAATATACATATTTAAATGGCAATAATATTTCAAAAAAATAAATTAAGAAAAAAGAGAAAAAATTTTTATAAAAATTATTTTATTAAATATTAATTTATATACATAACTAAAATTAGTAAATTAATTTACTTTCAAGTTGGAAGAAAAGAGAAAAGGAAAATCAATTTAAAATAAATAAAACTTTTTTTCTTTTTTTAGAATAGCTTCTATGTATTTATTCAACGATTTTTAAAATTAATTTTTTAAAATTATTTTAATTAAAATTTTCTTTTCATTAAAGAACGTGGCTTTTAAATTAACTCAATAAAATAAATTAGTGAAGCACCCCGTCATCCGACTAATTTTTAGGCAAAAGCCCCCGACCGGAACCCCGAAAGCTCTACCCCAGCTACCCTAAAATGAATAAATAAAAATATGTTTTGTATCAATACAGTTTGGATTAAATAATTCTTCCAAGATTTTAACATCTTTTTCTCAATAAATTTTTTTTCTCAAAAAATTTATTAGATGAATTTTTACATAAATAAAATGTAGATATAATCAATTTTGACTTAAAAAATATTTTTTATAGCCAATTTAATTTACAAAGAAAAACAATTCGTTTATTAAAATTCTCTATGTAATTTAATACATTTTTTATCACAAATACTTTTATAATTATTGGAGGAAGTAGATGAATTTGTTCTTGAAAGTGTTGTTTCTGCAAAAGGAGATAATAATAAACTATTTTTTCTACTTCCTTTTGAACTTCTTTCAGAATCCCTTGCAGTCAATAAAGTTTTGTTACTTCCAGATCTTTTTTTAATTTAATTAATTTTTAATTTAATTTATTTTACCTGCTATTAGGTAATGAACGAAGTGATAATGCTCTGTTAATTTTTTTATAAGCAGCCCGACATTTTAGAATTTGGATACAAACATGGCAAATATCTTTAAAATAAGAAATTTTTAAGTAAAAAAATTTTTCCTCAAATTGGCATAGACTATGTTTTATATTTAAATAGGAGTAAATAATTGATTGTTAGATAATCTCGAAATTCTCAGTCTCGAAACTGAAATATTGTTTTGATCTAGTTTCTCCCCAGGAATAAACATTCACAACCTCTTACATACATTCCTAATTTATTAGCTTTGTAACGTGAAAGTAGGGTTGTCGGTTCTGGAGGGAACCGAAAAACCAAGGATTTTTCGATTCGGTTCTTCTGTTCAGTTTCGGATATCCAAAGAATTTCCAGAAACCAATAACCCTACATAAAAGAAGTATTATCCCAAAGTTTAACGAAGATAAACGGCCCGTAATTAATCCTCTTTATAATTTAGACATTTTTGGATTCTCTATTAAATTAAGGCTGTTTTCTTAAAAATTAAACCTAATAAAATTAATTTTATACCAGGATTGATAAGGCAATAAAAATAAAAATTCAAAGCAAATTTTGTAATTTCGAGTAAATTAGCCAATGAACGATAAATCTAGAAACAAAATTAACATTAAATTCATTTTAAATTAATTCAGCAACCTGAAAAGGCAAAGAACGATCTTGTTTATCGGAAATTAAAATTGTTAAAGGAGCCTAAATATGGAAAAAAGAGTAATTTATTTTTAAAATTTTAAACAAACAGCTGGAATTGTGCAAACGAAAAAAACAATAGTTATTAGAAAAAGTAATGTAAATAGTCTTCTTTCTTCCTAAATTAAAAAAAAGTTTTGGTTAGTTATCCAAAAATAAGTAGGTATATTTGGTCCTCTCGATAACCGAGATTTTTGACCTATTTATCTTACCAGTCCATCACTATGCAGTTTCCTTGAGAATTATCGTCGATTTAAGTTTTTAAAAAGTCTAACAATTAGTATTAGGTAAATATTTAATATTTGTTTTTGTCTTAATAATCGAGATTTTGGGCCGCTGATGAAATTTTAGCTTCCTAACTCGAGGAAGACTGACTCAGTACTTGAAATATCTTTAATAATTAATTACCTTTTCGCCTTTCTCTACCAACGCCTTCTTTTGAATTGAAGGACTTGAAAGACTCATTCTATTTCTTTTAGTGTTTCTAAATTAAATTTATTCTATTTATTTTAATTAATTATTTACCTGTAAGTAACCAAAATATTAATATTAAAATAAGCAAGAAGAAAGAACGGGAAAAATCTCGTTAAAAATTCTCTAAACCATTCATACATTCCATATAAAGGAGTATCTATTGAACGATCACAAACAAGAAAAGGACAACGTAAAACACCTTTTGGGAGCTTTAAAAATTGAGAAAGTCTCTAAAAAATTTTCTTCAAAAGAAACTTGCCTCGTATACAATTTTCTTTTGAGACCAGGGGGCATAAATACAAAAATTACAGAAATAAATGGCTAGGAACAGTAAATAAATAAATTTTCGTTGTGTTTGGATACTTCGCTAAAAAAGTGAAAAATTAATTTTGAATTTAAAAAAATGGAATTAATAGAGGGGAACTGATATTACTATGTAATAAATACATAATTAGTGTCTCTGATATAATTACCCAGGGTAATTATTGAAGGAATAATCTAAGAACTTATGTTAGTAATTCCGAAGTTAATTAATTCTTGGAATATTTAGATCAAGTATTTTTTATTATAAATTTTTCATTATGTTTTTAACTCAAAAAAACATTAACCGATTGTGAATGTAAAGGATAACAAACAGCTTTAAATTGATATAAAGTCATTAATATAACCACCCAAACACTTGCACCCATTAAAGCATTTGAGAGAGGAAAAGCTATATGTGCATAATAAAAAGCTGCTAATTGTGAACAATGTCGAAAATCGAGAATCCAAAGAATTGGGGGAATAACAGATAATTGGGCAAACTGAAAAAAATTAAAAGGGGGGATTTTTATAAAAAGGACAGAAATAGAAAAAGTGACCAAATCGGTAAGTGCCAAAAAAGACAAGAAAATATAAATATCTTTTTTTCTTTTCATTGTAGGATGATTTAAAGTAATTATTGTTAGTAAATCACCAATAATTGAAATTGCTGAAAAAATATTTTTTAACTAAAAAAATATTTAGATATATTAAAATACCAATAATTATTGGGGCAATAATCATATAAGTTATAAAATTTAATTTTGAGACATGTACGTGGTCAGCTTCGTGTATCTAGATATTTTTTAAAAGAAATTATAGTAAAGTTAAAATGTTAATATTTATTTTAGTATGCAATTTTTATAAGGGAAGGAATGGAGGAGTTAACTTAAATATACCTAAAGAATCTTTGAACAAAACTTAAAACTTTTAAATAATCAGTCAACATTATTGAAATCATTAATTTTTTCAAAAATTAATTTCATGCAAACATTTATTTTGTTGGAATTTTGTTTATATTCCCATTACTCATTATTAAAGGAACATATCTCACTACCGACGATGTCTTTAAATATTTATCGGTATTCGTGTACGACTCTATTAAAAATTCCTTAAAAACTCCGATTAGTTGCTATACTATTTATACTTATTTCAGAATAATTATTTTAATTTAAAAAACTACCTTCGAATTATTTTGTAAAATATTTTGTTTAATAACCAATTCACTCGATTCCATCATAATTTTACATATTTCCATCATTTTTATTTATTTAAAAATATTTTTATTGTTTTATTTTTCTCAAAAAAAGAGAAAGTTTTTACGCAAATTAGCTTTAAAGAAATTTAAAGACAATAAAAAGGGGGAAAGAATTTATTTATTTATTATATTACATAGATGAATCTTCTCATTTTTCTTCAAGTATGTATTGGTTAGTTAGCCCCCTCAACACAAAAACTTAAAAGAGTCAACTTTTTTGCGGATAATCCGCAAAATAATTTTTTATAAATTTGAAGGAGTTTTAAACTGAAAAATAAATTTTGTGAGGCTTATTGTGTGTAAACTAATTTTACAACACTAAAGTAGATATAGGAGGTTTAACTGACCGATTAGAATTAGGGTTGCCGTTTTCGGGTCTGGCCGACGGTCGAGACATTTTTTCGGGCTTGTTTTTATCGAGTCGGGTTGGTACGAATCAGTTTTGGGTCAAATATCTTAGGCCCGACTCGATCTTTCGGCCCAAGTCGGTCCATTTTGGCAACCCTAATTAAAATCTTCAAAAATTATATAATTATCAATGAAAATCTTCTTAATTTAGGTTAATTATTGTAAAAAAAAATTCTTTTTCCTTCAGCAATAAATTCAGAAATAAATCTAAATAAAAATTTTATAAGAATTTTTGATAAAATTTTTCATTGTTATTGGACTTTAATAATTTAAAATATGCACGCAAACTTCAAACTTTTTACCAGACTGCCAAAAAATAATAATTAATATTTCTTTTTAAATAATATTTAAAATATAATTTAACTTTAAATTTTATCCGCAAAAATTTTTTTGATGAAAACGCAAAAATATATTTATATTATAATGACAACGCCTTCATCTCAATTTTTCAACAATCCTCCCCTCCCCCTCCCCCTTCTACATATCCTCTCGTTGAGTTAATTTCCTGAAAGAATACTTGAAAATGAGGAGGTGAAAACAAAAAAAATGAGAAATGAGACGGGAGAATAAAAAAATAAGAAAGAAAATAGTTAAATGCCAAAGGGCAAAAAATGCGCGTGTTGTTTTATGAAATTTGAGGTTAAAATAAGGAAGTGTTGAAGATGTAAAAAATAATAAAAAAAGAAAATAAAAAACTTTTTTTACATAAAAAATATTATCTACATTTTTTATAAAAAAATTAAATAATTTATTAAAAAAATGTAGGAGGAAATTGTTGTTGGAAGGGGTATCTGATTAATAATAGAGCTACGGTCTCAATCATGGATGAATAATTTTGATTCCTGAAAAGCAGCACATGGAAGGCAAAAACCAGGGGCTTATTTCAATTGTCCGCAGATTCTGCATTCTATGCAGAGAAACAGAACCTGCGGAATAATTGGAATAGGCCAAAGGGAGAAAATCCATTTCTGGTCTCGATAAGGATCGGATCAAAAGGTTCTCTAATTTTAATATAAACATTACAAATGACTTTACAATTTAATGAAATATGGGAAGAATATTTGATAAAGACAAATTCTATACATATTCGAATATTTAAAAATTATTAATATATTCTATATAAATTTTCTAAAAAAATTTAATAAAATAGCAAAGTATTTTTCTGGTTTTCCCTTTGATGTATAGAAATCCACTCATAAAAATTTCCTCTGATATCTTTATGAATTTCCTCTTTAACCCTTTTTTATAATTTAATTAATTATTTCTTTACAAAACTTCTTATGCTGATTTTTTATTTATTTTTAGTTACTTTATTTATTTTTTCCTGTTTTCTACCAACTATTGACTAAAAAGATGTGTGCATATACAGTAGTGGACATAAAGATAGGGACAAGAGTAATTTAAATGAAAATTAACTATTTTTCGGTCGAAAAATACGTTCTATATATCAATCGAAAGCTCTATTTATATCTCAGTTGACATGTTTCTGCATTTTTCATGAAATTGAAAATTGCCCGAGATAATCCGGATCTACCGGATATACCAAATCCTATATCCTCGGAAAAATTTTTCGGAAAAAATTTAACGAACCCATTTGATAAAGCATATTTTTGTGAGTACTTACCACAAAACCGCTTAGAAATATCTTTCTCCGGACCAGAGATATGATTTTTTGAAAATGGCATTTTTAGCCTATTTTTGCAAAAAATTCAATTTTTAAGCGAAAAATGCCATTTTCAAAAAATCATATCTCTGGTCCGGAAAGAGATATTTTTAAGCGGTTTTGTGGTATATACTCACAAAAATATGCTTTATCAAATGGGTTTGTTAGATTTTTTCCGAAAATTTTTTCCGAGGCTGTGGGATTTGGTATATCCGGCAGATCCGGATTATCTCGGCCAATTTTCATTTTCATGAAAAATGCAGAAACATGTCAACTGAGATATAAATAGAGCTTTCGATTGATATATAGAACGTATTTTTCGACCGAAAAATAGTTAATTTTCATTTAAATTACTCTTGTCCCTATCTTTATGTCGACGACTGTATTTAATTTAAAAAAATATTACCTAGGTATTTCTTTTAATTTTTATCAAATTTACCAAAGAAAGAGAGAAAACTCGTTTCCATAACAAAAAGTTTACCTAACTACAAAATTTTATTTACTTATTAATTGTCAAGCTTTTTAATGTAAAGAAAATTTTTTTATTTTATTATTTCTTTTAAAATATAAAAAAAATTGGCATTTTTTTTAATAAAAATTCTCAAATGGATATTCAAAATTCTTTAAATAAGCAAAAAAATAAACAATTAATTACCCCCACTAAATGCTGTGTTTGTGGTTATTTAGCTAGTGGTTATTCTTATTATAATGTTGTTTGTTGTGATGGTTTGTTTTTCTTGTTTAATTTATTTTTTAATTTAAAAGTTCCCATAAAACAATGAAAAATTTTTTAAATTATTTTTGTCTTTTTTTCTAATTATATACCTTATATCCTTTAATAACTACCCTGGGTAATTATTGTTTCGACCTTCTGCTGGAGGGAGTAATTAATCGAGGGAGGGTAATTATACGAGGTTTGAATTTTGAACGTGTTTTAGGGCGTTTGTTGGGGTAATTATTGCTTCAATTTATCGCTGTATGGGGTAATTAATGGAAGCGGGGTAAATTTGAGGGAGGGCAACTGATACATGGATGAGGGCATTCTTTTATCTAATTTTTTTTTAAATTTAAAAACCCCCTTTTAAATACTTATTAAATATTTAGGTTGCAAACACTTTTTTCGTCGCTGTATAACTTTAATAGAAAATAAAGTGTTTAAATGCAAAAATGATGGAAATTGTGAAATTGAAAATGGTAGGAGAGGGGAAGGGGGGGGGGTTAATTATTTAAAAAATAATTTTAAAAAAGTTCCAAATAAATGCAAAAGTTGCCGTTTTGATAAATGTTTATTAATGGGAATGAATATACAAACAATGAGAGGAGACCGATCAAAATCTTTATGGGAAATAAAAGCGAAAATTGAACAGAGAATTAGAGAACTTGCAAATAATGGAAAATATATAACGAGAAAAATGGAAGAAAATGAGAATGTTGTTGATTTGGTAATATATTTTGAATAATGTAAATGTCCTAATAGAATTCTGTAAAAATCTCCTCTCCTCATATTTAATCACAAAAAATAAATTATAGAAAGAACAATTAAATGCAGTTACTGATTATCATCAAATTATTGAATATCTCTTAATTATTGAGAAAAATGCTAGTCGAATTAGAAATTCACCAACAAATGTTCCTGAATGGAATTTCTTATGTTCTTGTAAATCTTTGGATACATTGCTTATTCGAAAGGAAAATGTGCTTTCTCATAGTCTGGAATATTTGGTAATTCATTTAAAAGAAATTAGTATGAAGTCAATTTTTTAAATAAATATTGAGAAATTGAGGGACCTATTAATTAAACTAGATAGATGGAAATTAATTAAAATAATATTTACATTTACTTTGAAAATTATAAGATAAAGTTACGAACACTCCTGTTTAGTGATTAATTTTAAATATAAAAATAATAAAACCAAAAATAATTTTTTTCAAATTAAATATCTATTAGACTATAAAAAATGACAAAAAAATTTTTAAGGAAAAAGAACAAAAAGCAGAACAATCTTTAATTGACTTTTTACATAAATATGGGCATTTCCATATGCGCCCTCCTTCTCTTACAGAAGATTTGCTTTTAATTGTTGAAATTGCAAAAAGTCTTCCTTTCTTTCCAAAATTGGATTTAAATGATAATGTAAATTTATATAAAAAATATTTTAAAATTAAAAATTTAAAGATTTATTTATTATCAACAATTGCTTTACCTTTATTAGTCTTGGTTATGGGTTATTATTCTTATACAAAAAGATCAGAAACTATTATTTTTCCATGTGGTATTTCTGCAATATACTCTTTAAGGGGGGAATTTTATGGAGGAGATTTAACGTAAATTTTGATCTAAAAAATTTTTTAAAAATTTTTTTAGAATAAATAAACTAATCAAAATTGTGTTTAAAAAAAGTATGGAACCCTTTAATCGAGTTAAACTTGAAGAGGAAGAATATGTTTTACTTAAAGCTATTATTTACTCACATATGGTTACTAACGGATTAAGTCAAAATGGACAGAAAATATTGTTAGCTGAGGCAGAAAAATATTCGGGAATTTTATTGAAAGTTTTACAGGTATAAAATAATTATATAAGGAATTTTTGGAAGGAATCATTAACAAAATAACGGTCATGTTAATGTTTGGGAAATATAAAAACAGGTAAAAAAACTACTTCTAATTAGTGTAGCACCTCGTCTCCCGAAACCCCGAAGACTACCCCGGAAAAACCCGATCCCCGACGATCCCGCCCCCGAAGGCTCGGGGTGCTACCCTACTTCTTATTACTGATGGTTGAAAAACAGCCCTTTGGGAGGAACCGTGTGTTATACAATTTTCTAAGTTAAAATTTTTCCGATTCTGATTATTAAAATATTTAATCAGAAAATCATAATATTTTTAGAACAATTACGGACCAATACCAGGCGCCAGAAGATACACAGAATTACTTCAATTAATTGAATTTTGTTTTAATCACGCAAAATATCATAGTCTTCTACTCAATTACATTGCTTTTGTTCACGATCGTGGCCAATTTCATAACGTAATGCCAAAAGCACTTGCCGATCTCTGCCTGCGAGGAAATGTTAAATTACCCGAACTAGAACAACTTTGAGAATTATTATTTTTATAAACTTTTTAAAAAATATTTTCATTTCAAATATTCCTAATATTTTTATACACTTTTTAATTAAATATAATAATCTGAAATTATAACTAGAGCCCGGACCGTACTGTACTACGGCCGTATTTTTCGGTATTTATCGGTATTCCGTATCGGTAGTACGGTACGGAATACCAACCGATACGCGATTCCTGGCTAATTATAACTACATATAAAATATATTTTTATTAAAAATTTTAGTCTAAAAAATCTATTTTGGAGTTCAATCTCAAAAGTATTTATATCCTTTGATCTCTGATTTATTTTTAAATCATCTTAAGTCTATCATTTCTAACAAAAAACAATAAAAATGTAAACTAAATTATATTTAAAATATGTATAGAATGAGCAAAGAAGTGTCAAGGAAAGGCAAAGAATTTACAAAAAATAAAGGCTAGTAATATTCTTTAAAATGATAAAATTGAGATACTAAAAAATATATTCTTAAATTTCGTGTCATTCAACATGAAGATTCTGGTCTTTACGTCCATCATTATTTGATGGACAAACATCGTTCGATTTCTGCCTTTTTACGTGTCCAATTTGAAAACAACTAATTTGTAAATATTCACAAAATTGTCGACAGATAAGAATACAAAAAATTATGAGACTTATATGAGCATAAATCTGTTGAAATTTTTTTTATATTTTAAAAAGTCAAATGAAAAGACAAAAAAATTATTTACCGTAGCAACCAAAAGCAACAAATATTCATCTACAATATAATCATAATACTAAAAATTAAAGATAATTTTATGAACATTTATTATTTTAACCTGATTCAATATCATAATGAAGGGACTTAAATAAATCCAATCCCAAACTTCTAGTTCAGAACGGCTCATATGAGCGATTATCTTAAAATTTAAAAATAAATAAAGAAAAATATTTAAATTAAAAAATTTTTTAATCAAAATTTAATTAATTACAGAATTCTCAGACAATAAGATCTTAAGCTTGATTAACTTAAATAATAAAATTTAATGTTAAATAACTAGTTTATCTAAAATTTTCAACATTAATAGGGTTTAATTACTTAATTATAAAATAAACTCTTGTAGGAAGGGAAAAATACAAAGTTAATTTGTAATTTCTTCTATATTTATAGTTAGATAAATTCTTTTAATAAACCTACTAAACGATTAGTAGCTTTAGCCCCAATTGCACCAAAGCAAAGACAAAGTAAAGTAATATTTTGATCATAAACTCTGGACGTTGATTTACAATAAAGCATTAAAAATGGAATACACACAGCCAATAATGGAGATAATGGACAAATTACTGAAGTGTCCTTAAAAATTAGAAAAAAATTCAAAAATTTTTGATTTCAACCTCCCCCCACCCCCCTCTTAATTATAGAATATTTTGTGTGAAAAATGAAGAAGTGAATTTTACAATTTTTGTGGAATCCCAATCTTTATTTTTTCAAAAAATAAAAATAAATAAATTCACCGCAACAGTAGATCCATTTTTTCCAACTCCTTCATTAAAAATAACATTCATATAACCAAAAAATTGCCATATTGCTCCAACAAGACAAACAAGCATACAGATAGTTTTTAATTGCCAACCAAAAATCTTTTTTAAAAAATAAAATAAAAATCATATTTAAACAGGCAAACTCTAATATTCCAAATATCAGAACCAACAATAGAAGTAAATAAAAGAATTCCAATAACAGTCATTTGGGCTTCAGTAACATCAAATCTTGAAAAAGAATAATTTAAATTTAATCAAAAAATTTAGAAAAAAACTTTGAAAATCTAAGCTGTCCAGTACAATAAGTTGACCAATGTGCAGTGTAAAACAAAGAAATTGAAAAAATCATAACAGTCAAAACCATGTGACGTTCAGTTCCTTAAATAAAAATATTTATTTAAAATTAGTTAAAATATATTTAAATAAACAAAAATGTTAAAAAAGAAAATTAGATTTTAAATATAAAGTTACAAAAAAATAAATGAATAAAAATGATAGAACAAAATTAACTAAGAAGTTAATTAAATATTCATTGAAAATGAAATTTAAAGAATAAGAAAGAAAAAAAACAAAAATGCTTTGAAGGGGGATTAGAGGATGTACTATTAAGAATATTTAAATCCAAAAATCACTTTTAATTTGAAAAAAAATAAACAAACCTAATTGCATTGCATAACAAACATTTAACGTTACAAAAACTAAAATTTTAAAAATTAACTTAAAAATTTTCAAAAATAAATTTTTAAAAACCTTGAGTTAAAGAATCACAACCGTGATCAAAAAGTTCCCCTAAAGGGGAAGAAGATTGAGTTCTCCTCGCCTGTTTTCCATCTGTAGCATCCAATGTCTGGTAAAGGAAAAGGCCAATTGCAGCTTGGAAATATGCCCAAGATGGGGCCTAAAATTGTTTAAATTTAAAAATAAATTTTTGATAAAACCTGTTCTGTCGCAGAATAACAAAAATGAGAAAGGATAAGTACAGTGACGAGGTTGATCAGCTGAAAAAGAAAAATGAGACTAAGAGAAAATAAAATTTTAACGAATGTTAAAATTTTTACATAGTAATACATCCTCATAAAGTAAAAAATTTTTAAAATTTCAAAAATAAACTTAAAGAAATGACTAAATTTTAGTTGTCTAAATTATAAATAAAATTAAAAAAGAGTCTATTAAACTAATTTAATAAAACAAAATTTAAGTACCAAACCAATCAGCGTTATTAAATTTGGAGCCAACCAAAGTGGGTACCATTGAACAATATAATTCCAAAATCTAAAAATAATTGATAAAAAATTTCAAAAAATTTATAAAAATTCACTTGCTCATGCAAAGTTGATCTAGCCAAGACGCATCTATGGCAGAATAAACTAAAAGTTAAAAATCAAGAAAATTTAATTACAAAATTTTTAACCATGATCCCCCATCCTTGCAAGTTGAGAATGTTTTAATTGACAATCATATTCAATATAATTTACACAAAGAGAAATGAGGAAACCAAAAAATCTCTAAAAAATTTTTTAAATTATTTTTTAACTTAGGGAAATGAAAGAGAAACCTGAATAAAATTCCCCGAACTTTTCCCTTTCATTTCTCTCGGAGTTGTAGAACGTTGATTACGCTGGGCGCGTTGCATAAATGAATCAGGCAATGACGAGCGATACCTACGGTCGTGTTTGTTTGCGGCTGCTTTTGCTCCACTTCGAGTCTGGGCCATAAAATTTGATAAAAATAAATCTAAAAGAAAAATATTAATTTTTAAAAGCCGATTAAGAAGAAAAAATTATTAAAAAAATATTCGTGTTTTTTAGAAAAGGGAGAAAGATGAATAATCTTAAAAACCTCTTAATTTGTAATACAACAATTTAGATAAGAAAACAATCAAAATAAATAAAGGAGGAAAATGTCTATTGCTTTATTGTCCCAAACCTTTTTTTCTTTTAATGTCACCCCAGAAACAATTAAATGTTGTCTAGCAGGAAAACATTTTGAAATAACTTAAAAATAATATTTTTTGATTCAGACAAATACTATTAAAATTCTTTAAAAAATTAATTTATTTAATATATTTGGAGGTAATAATTTAAAATGAGTTCTTAAAAATAAGAACATAAATGAAAAAAAAATTAATTTTAAAATAATTCCGAAAAATTAATACAATAAATTTCTTAAAACTCAAGCGGTCCAACTTTGAATCCCTATAACTTTTCGAAATGGGATCAGGGGAAAAAGCCGAAAACTATAATAGGTTTTCGACCTTGCTCTACATGATGGTGCAAGAAATACAAAAATTTTCACATACAATTTGGGGTGTTTCCTTGTTAGATTATCAGTGTTTTAGACACTAGAAATTCCATTGTATTAATTTAAATAAATAAATAATTGTATTTTTGAATCAAATAATATTATTTATCGAGAGAATCCTTCTTTCATTGAAACAACTAATTTTTGAAATTCAATGGGAGCAAAGGAAATTGGGATTTTGTCGGTGTAAGCAAATCAATTAAAAAACAAAGCGATCCCGCCCAACCCTCAAACAAACTCCAAGGACAATCAGGTGTCCGAGCAGCATTCTTAAAAATTTTTGGTTTAATTTTTGTATAAAAATAAAAAACAAACCCTAAAATTTTCACTCATCATGATTAAAGCAAAAACTTTTGCCTTCTCAAGCCATCCATTTTCGAGGGTCTGCCTGTAGAGTAATAGAAATGCATATCCACTGCCTGCAACTCCATGACAAATTCCTGGGCCTTTTCCAAGAATACCTCTTTCCCAAATTAGTTGCGCACATCGAATGGCGGCCTTTTAAAGAAAAACTTTTAAAATTATTTTGATTCTTAATATTGGATAAAAGCAAACAACGAAAAATTTTCTAAAAAGTATGTACATATTACCTGTAAGTATTTGGCACTGTCAAAGACTAAATGAGCAGCTAAAAGCATATGAAGAGCTCCCGTTGCTCCATGACACCAATGAATGAGTTCTTCTGTTCTACCTAAAAATGAAGGAATTGAGAATGAAAATGGGAAATAATTAACCAATTCTGTCCGTTCCAGAAGGAAAATTTCCATCATTTAATTGAATACTTAAATACCAATCCACAGATTGTTTGACCGCTGTTTTAGCTGAATCGTCAAGAAAATCCCAATAACTTAAGATTTAGAAAATGTTTTTAAATAATTTAAAAAAACCTTAAAAGTATTTGAAGAATGCCAGAAACTCCATGTGCGGCACCCAAATATTCATCTCCGTGCCATTGGTACATTAATGGTGAAGGGGAGTGGTGTTTTTTAGAATAAGCAAGCCCAGATTGAATTATGGAATTTAAAACAGAGCGTATTTCATCGTCAGATAGAACATCAAACCCTTTTTCTTTTCTTAAAAATATCCTTATTTCCATGTTTACTTTTTCTAAAATTCAACTTTATAATTAAAATTGAAGCCAAAAATCCAGCTCTTCCATTCAAAATCTCATC